CCCCCCCGGTCCATACGATCATTAGTGACTGGCTGCTGGGGGGCAAGTGCCCCCCTGACTCAGGAGGCACCAGTTGCCCATGTCAGGGAAGGTAGAGAAAGAGTAGCCCTTTAGCAAGGGGGGAAGAAAAACAGTCCTCTGTAGTTTTTAATCTCTTTAGTTTAACACTTTTGAAATTTAGTGAGATGTAGGGTGTAACATGTTTGAAGTGTATTCAGTATAGCAGTATTGTGTATGAGACTTCTCTGTTCAGTTAAGGTGACCCAATTTAAAACCAAACCTATACCCCTCAGAATCTAGAGCTCCTGATGGCAAGATCACTGTTGTTGAAGGTAGCAATCAGGAAAAATAAAAAAAAATCTTAATGCTCTTATGACTTGGGGGGAAATAATCTTTGGAAGGTCTGTCTTAGAGGACTGTAAAGTATGGAAGCAGGGGCTTGGTCAATGGTAGGGGGAACAGTCAGTTTAAAAAAACCCAGGTTTTTCTACATTATTTTTGTGGCCTTGTTTCTTGACAGCCTTAGTGGTATCTTTTTAACAAGAAGGAAGAGATTTATGGAGCAGCGTTTCCAGGTTTTGTTCCCCACACTCAGTTACTGGTGCAGAGAAATGAGTGATATAGTGCAGTGGTAGGAAACCTTTTTTTACTGTGGTTTGGACCCCCTCAGGTCAGAGGAAGATGGGTGCTAGGGCCTGCCTGCAGCTGGGGATTCACTCTGTGGTGACACAAGATGAGCTCCTGTGGCCGAAGCCCCCCTGCTGCCAAACACTGCTGAAGCGCTACATCCACAGGCCAGATCCAGCCCACATACTGCAGATTGCTGACTCCTGGTTCCGCCTGATTCAGACCTGGATTATATTCCTGGCTTTGCCCCTTGCTAGCAAGTGACTGTGAGCACATGTGCACAGCACAAAGCAGTACTGGGTTGAAGTGCCTTGAAGCAGCTATGAATGGGTTAGCTTGTATACGTATGTGGAAGTCTACGTGGAGCAAGGCAGCAGTGCCCAAGCTTCTCTGCACATGCTGACTCTAGAACCAAAAGTGTTGTAGTTGCATTAACATTGCACTGTGGCTTAGCTAGTTGATACTGCTGAGGGCGCTTTAGCCTGTTTCCAGGTCTGCACTAATTCAGTTTCCTGTTCTAGATTGAGCTCAAGTAGCTCTACAGAGTGTCACCTTGTGCCTCATGAGCATATCTGTTGCCTCTGTGGATAGTTTTGTTATCTATAAACTGGGGATATTGCATTCCAGTGACACATTTGATTATACATTTTATATTTTGTAAGATGTGTAGAGATCTACTTGTAAAGAGCAAGCTGTAAGAGCTAGATATTTTTATTAACTCAATGTAAGATTTTGGGAAATTCCAGTTTTCCTTTCATAAGCATGGGAGCTCGTCAGAATTTGCATTTAGCGCTTTGTTTGTCTTGCCGCTTTCTGATTCTCTGTTGCTTTGTTCTCTGTTTCATTTCTTAAATTGTGAATTATTTTAAATCCATGGTAATATTGATCCTGCTTCCATGGTCAGTACAGTTAAAGGACAGATTCTTCCCTGAATTTTGCCTAATGTGACCCCCAAACCCACACTGTGGGTTCTTTGCTATGAAGGATCATATACACTTGCTTTGAATGAGGCAGACCTACAGGAAGAGCTATTCTGCTATGAAAGAAGAAATTGGTGGGAGGGAAAGAAAAGCTCTGTGATGGATGGAGAAAAGGGTAATGAATGGGAGGTGGGACATGGTGTAAGTTGGGACAAGATTTGCACTTTACTAGTTCCCAGCAACTTAGAATGCATAGTTTTATAGATCTGTTTTCCTGGAAAACTTCCCATAATCTCTGCACTTGTTTCATTTGTACTAATTCCTTTTTCCCACATGGTAAAATAACCGTTAGGGATACCTTTGTGTAGGCTGTGTCATACTTCACAGCTTTTGCATAGCATCGGTCCTGGTTTGCTATTTTCAGTCACATTAATAGAGTTAGCAAATTGACAGTCTTTCTAGCTAGCACTGAAGTTTTTTGAAAGCGCACAGTGTGCCCACAAACTTCAGCTTCTCTCATACTTTAAAGTAACTTCCCTTTTGTATATGTTCCTTTCTCAAGTAGCTGTACCACAGCTATCAACAAAAGAACAAAGTAATTTTTCTCAGAGAAAACTCATTCCAGTTGCCCATAATAATTTGTAGGAGACATTTTAAACGTAAAGAAACAGTATATGCAATGATTTTTCCCCTCTATTCCCCTGCAAGTTTTCCACTCATCTATTATATCTATTTTTCACCAGATATTATCTCAGCGTAAAGAAGTATATAATTAAAGTCAGGGAAGGGAGGAAATTAAAGGGAGAGAATAAAGATATTTAGCCAAGTGCAGTTGTATGAAAGGTCATTTCTGTATCTTGTGTGGGTGGAAGAAACAGCAAAGGAAAACCAGGGAAACGAACTATCTTGAGTAAGCATTGTTGACCTTTTAGTAGCACGTGTGGTATGAGTTTGTGCTTGTCCCCTACCATGATCCAGTCCTGTCTTTCAAGATAGCAACAAGGATAAATTGCCAGCTGCTCTGCAGCTCTTTGTTTCTTTTACACCTCCCCCTTCCTTATTGCTGAAAATATATTTTTACTTTTTTATGTGTAGTAAACTCATTATTCTTGAAGGTGACTCATAAAGGAAAAAAATTGGTCTTATGCCCTTGTTTCTTTTTTTTTTAATGTTGGTATGCACCAAGCCCTGCAAGGTGTTGGGTGATTTTTTTTTGTACAAAGTGTTTTTCTTTCCACTTGTTTTTAACACTAGAAATTTGGGTTCTATGTAGTCTAGAAGACTTTATGAAGATTGGAAAGCTAACCAGAATCGCACCATAAAAACAGAGAGGGTAACATTTGAGTAGTTGGAAGGGGAGAGGTAATTTTTAGTTTCACGTTTATAGGATTTTCATTTTTGTTGTCACATATTTGACTTCAGTGATGCACCCAACACTAGGCATCGAAGAAACCTTTTGTTGAAGATTTGGTGCCTATTCCACTTCTAAAGTGAGAGAGAGAACAACATTCCTCTTCTGGGACACTTTTCTAACAAACCCAGGGAAGATATTTCTGGTCTTTTTGAGGTCTCTCTCCCCCAGTTTTTTTCTAAACAAGATGCCCCTTCTTATAAAGTGACAAAAATAAAATAATCCTTTGCCAGTCACCTTTTAAAAGCGACATTGAGCTAGAAAGTTTCTATTTGTACGTTTCAAATAACTGATAATACTGAAACCCAGTGCCATGGTTTGCTTTATTTCACTGGGACTTAGTAGCTAGTCATTAACTGATTAAAACTGAGCATTCTTGATTGTTAATTGGCAAAGCTGTGTAAATGCTTAGTGTATGGCTAACTGTTACCTCTTGCATTTTCTGTATGCTTCTTAACAGAATGGTCGTATTGCGTCCAAGTACCTGACAGAGGAACTGAGGAAGATTTTCACTGAAGACACTGATTCAGAAACTGAAGTGTTTGAAGGCTTTCTTCCAAGCGAGCTGGATGCAGCCAACAAGAAAGCAATGATGGTAAAGAAAGCATTTTCACTGTGTTCAAAGAGACACATACCTCTCTCTTCTCTCTGTGAATTCCTGTATTTATTCAGGTGGTAGAAATGCATAACTATGTCCCATATTTAGGATGCAGATAAATATGCATTGTGTGAAAACAATCCTAAATAGTCATCAACATAAAATCCTTTATTAATATATTATAAATAGGGGTCTACTCAACTAGAGGTGGCTGGCCGATTTTACAGGCAGATTGTGGGGCTAGCTGCCATTTTCCCCCCAGTCGCCTCTGGCCAAGGGGCCTGGTGCTCCTGCCCCCCACCAATTGGTGAAGAGGGCTGTCTGCCATATGACTCTGCGAGGGTGCTCTTTCATGTGGCCCTGCCCCTTACTGCTGATTGGTGAAGAGGGGCAGAACTGCATGACAGGCAGTCCTCTCCGTCAGTCCGTGATGAGGGGTGGGAGTGGCAAGGCCTGGTTGCCTTCATGCTGGCAGCCCACTTTGTGCCAGGCTGTGCAGCCAGGTGGACTGTTGGCTCCCACTGGGGAGGCAACTTTTTATTTTTAGTAAGTCCTTCCATCCCCTCCCCCCCCAATTTGACAGAGTTTGCCCTAGAGTAGGTCCCTAATTATAAATCAAAGATGGACAATATCTTGATATGCATGTAGCAGAATCCCCTCTAGGGCAGAATAGAAGGTTGGTTACTGATCACAGTGAATGAAATTCATTCCTATATGGAGGATTGACTCAAAGCCTTTCTGCTATGTAAGCTCTGTGATCTCATGTGATACGTATTCGTGTGCTGGTCTCAGAGCTAAATTCTAATCACAGTAGACAGATATTTTTAATATATTGGTTTAGAATGATAAATGCAGGAGGAAGTGTTTAGTTGTTCAAGTGTCTGTTATTTAGAAGTGATCTGTGCCGATAATGATATCAAGTGGTATTTCCCCATATTATGGCTGCTGGTGTAACATGTTGATTCTCTCTGCTTTTAGCCAGTAGAGTCAGATTTGAGTGATGAAGAGAATGATAATTTATCTTTACCGGGAAGCGAGGAGGAAGAGGAAGAGGAGAAGGTTTCTCCCAAGAGAAGAAGCTTTGGCCTTCGTGTGGCGTTTCAATTCCCCACAAGGAAGTCTTCTGAGAAGACAATGCCCAAACCAACTTTTTCCAAATTACATTTGAAAGACAGTAAATCTCCTAAAACTCTGGCAAGAGAGAAAAGTGCCAAGAGGTGGAAGAAATTTGAGGGCTCTGCTTCAGAGTCTGAGGAAGATGTTAAAGAGACACAGGAAGAAAGTTCTAGTGCTCTGCTTAAAAGAGCCATGAACATCAAAGAAAATAAAGCCATGGTAAGACCAAGGAGGCAAATACCAGTCCTCACTAAGGATATGCCTTCCCTGCAGAGCTAGTTTGAGTGACTGGCATCTGGGTGTGAGTATTCAGGTTGGCCCAGGTTGTGTGAGCAGTCACACTACAAAGTCATATTCAAGTTACTGCGACTTCACTGATACAGCATTCACCCATGTATGTCACTAGAACTTTTGCAGCCATTGCCAGTGATGCTTTGTTGTGCAGTAATCTAAGCTGCTCTGAATTGGCCCTTCTTGGGCACATGGGAGGAATTGGGTAAAGACACTGGAGACCTGTTAGTCCTCAAATGGTATAGTATTCTAAAGCTATAGCTATACCATCTGATACACAAATGTATGCTTCTAAGAATGAGATCTCTGGAAGACAAACAGCTCCTGTTGAAGGCCTAAATGTGACTTCCATCAAAACTGCCAGTCAAGGTGATGTTTGAAGCCAGATGTACAAGATCCAGGACCTAAATTTTGGTCTCCCTTATGATACAACAGAAAGTCTTCACTGTGCCAGTGATATCACATTGGCCCTGATGTGTGGTGTTAGTAGTTTGGGAAGACCAAGGAGGCAAATGTGCACTGCATGGCTTTGGAAAGGAATGAAAAGCCTGATGAGCATAAGCCAGTTTCTCCCTGTTTTGGATCTCCTGAAGGTGTAAAACCACAATGGAGCTCATGGTTGGTGCTGCATTGATGGAAGCTGATGAGTGTCCTCATTCAAAAGCGATAAAGAATGACTAAAAGAACATTTCTATGCTTTCAAGTATCAGAACACACACAGGTGTCACTAGGTCTGTGTTGTCAAAATAAATTATAATATACTAGCAATGTTGTGTTAGAAAGGTATGTGCCAAGATAGCCCACAAGAAACCTCTTACTTCGTATAATCCTTTGAGGCATTTAGGTCTCCTCTTGTTGTCAGGGATTAACTCCCCCCATGTTAACTGCAAATTTCAGTCATTATTGGTCACGGATACTATAACCTCTATATAACACACTTCTGTGTTGCCACATTTGACAGCATTGGATGTGATTTTAACTGCACGACTTCAGTAAAAATCAGTGGGAGTCATAGAGCTAAAACCCTATGAGGAGCTTTTGACTATTAGGGGTAAATTGAGTGTTTAGAGAGAGGGTACTGATGCTGGGCTTTAATCTATTTAGAAATAACTCAGAGAGTGTGTGTGAAAACAGCGTGGTAAGACCTGACTGTGTTTAAATTTCTGCAAGTTTGAAATGAGATGTCAGTAAGATGTCTTTGTTAATTTCAGCTTGCCCAGTTATTAGCAGAACTGAATTCCATACCTGAATTGTTTCCAGTGAAAACACCCGCTTCAACTCCTTCGGTAAGTCTCAGCATATGGTTATACATAATAAAAATAGTTGCTAAACTTATTCAAGTTGTGTTTTCTGATGAATGTTTTATCTGTGTTTTTTGGTAATTTTATTTGTATTGACCTACTAGCATATGTGAAAAGACAAAGGGTAGGCTACCAAGAAATACATGTAAAGAAACAGCACAAATATATACGTTACGTTTAAAAAAAACACGCCTAGAGTTCAGCACTTTGGCCTGGAAAGGCACAAATGAACAAACAAATATGTATCTAAGAATGAGATGTCTGGAAGACAAAGAGCTTCTTGAGCTGGAAAACTAAAGCATCTTCCCTGTTTGTTTGGATCCTGTTAGGTTTTTTCTTCAGTTGTCTGTTCTGATAAAGGCCATGTGTTTATCAGAGATGGGATGGCAACATTCAGCCAGTCCCATGTAATAGCACAATGATTTTATGCCCTTAGTGTCGAGTGATGATACTTTCTGGCTACCAGCAGAGAATTTCTAATTCTCTGAGATACCTGTGGGTAATTTGCACATATTCAAAATGAGCATATTCATGGGAAGGACTGTGTACCCATTTCCATGGCTTTGGGAAGCCCTTGTAAAAATGTTCTTGTGATAATTGCATCATTTAAGACTGAGGCTGAATTGTAAAAAAATATATATATATGAAAAGTTGTTTAGTTTGCACTTCAAGCATTTATTCAAATCTATTAAATTAACTTCAATAAGTTTCTTGAGTCTAGTCTATTATATGTATTTAGTATTTTTATCTGGAACAAAATCATTCGGGTATGCCTGCTGTTATGCTGTTGTCTCCCCATTTTCATGCATGTGTCCACTCATTTTTCATTTTTTTAAATACTGATTATAGATTATAACAAATTCTACCATTTTGAGCGATCCCCTACCAAATCATGGTATCATATTTCTCAGATGATCTCCTGTGGATGATTTCATGGTAGCTGAACACATGCAAATCTTTTGTGTGTGTATTAGATGCGTTGGCATGGAGATGGTAACTTGTATCTTCTGGGAATGTAGAAATGTGACCAGTTTATCTGTTAGTGCTGTTTACTGAACAGTATCTACCAGTATGTCAATATATTCTTTTAGCTTTGAAGCATGGGTTACTCCTTGAATGAGCTGTGCTGGATGTGGAAAGACCAAAGTGAGTAAGGGTCTTGAAATGTTGGAGAACAGTGGGCCACTTCTTCTGCTCTACCATATACTCCATGAAACCCCATAAATGACAATGTGGTTTCCTGGGATATAATTCATAAAGAATTTCAGTTTTCAGTGGGATGTGGAATTTGGGTCCTTCTTAAAGAAACAGGAAAGTATGGTTTGTAGTGGAAGCTATGAAGTGTGTTTAAAGGAAGCTGCAAGATTAGTTTAAATGCATGTCTGAAAGGACAAAAAATTAATGGTGGAAGAAGTCCACCCAATAAGAATTAGACAAGGGTCATAGACCGTATGGATGTGCCATATTTTCCCACCCCTAGGCATAAACTGAATTGCATATCACACACACCTTTTCCCCAGAAATCATCCCTTCAAAATTGGTGTGTGTGTCTTAAGCAGAAAAGCTGATTTTTCTTTGCTGGAATAGAAGCATGGAGGAGTTGGGTTGCAAGATGGCTGCCAGCTTCTCTAGGGCAGCAGACAAGAGGAATGAAGTCCAGTGGTAACCTTTTCACAGCCACTCTCAAATTGGCAACAGTTTGCAACTGAAATGCCAAACGAGCAGCCAAAAGCTGTTGCCAATTTGAGAGTGGCTGTGAAAGGGTTAACAGTGGAATCCATCCCTCTTGGTCTTGCTTGCTGTCCCAGGAAGAAGCTATCAGCCATTTTGCAACACTACCTATCCATAAAAAGACAGCTCTAGACTGTGATGCAAGAAACATATTTTTCCTACATTCTGCCATCTTAAAAGAAAGTACACATTTTATTTGGGGGTGTATGGCATGCAAGACACTATGGTAAACAAAATGAGCAAAAGTTTCTAATGGAAACATTTTCTTTTCTCTAGAAACAGAAGAAAACCCCCAGGAGGACATTTTCTGAAGGCCAGATACAGCGTCGTACAAATCCAACCAGAAATGCTCGTCCTCCAGATAAATTTGCCTTGGAAAACTTTACAGTATCTGCTGCTAGATTTGCAGAACACTTCCGTAGTTATAGACAGCAAAACCTCCTAAAGAGGAGACTGAGTGGGGTATTTGCCAGATTTTCTTTGTTTCCTAACCCTTGGTTATTTGAGTCTGTGCTTAAATAACTTGGTGCAACAGTGATTTAGGAACAGTTAGCTGGAAATTAGAAAAGACAGCCCAGATAATTTATACATTATCCATTCTATCTTGCCCTGTGGGGGGATGGCTGGTGCAGGGCAGCTCTGTGCCACCGATTTTTCTCCATGACAAATCAGACCTATTTGGAGGCCAGTTCTAGCCCGCAGGCTGTAGGTTGCTGATACCTGCGCAAAGTAGAAGGACAAGTGGGTGAGAGGTTGCAAGGAGATGGGCAGGTAGGGGTTCTGGGAGCAGCTGCAGAAGAGGTGAGCACCTTTGTTTCTGGTGACTGGAAGGAGGGCAGAAGAATACTAGAATGATGGTGGTAATGGAGGGAAAATAGAGGCAGATGTTGACCTGCAAATCAAGGGCGTCAAACTTATCCGGCTCCGTGGGTCAGATAAGGGACATGAGGCCATCCTGTGGGTTGGATCCAGCAGGCAGGGCTGATCCAGTGGCACTGCATCCAGTGCATGAACTGGACCAAACCTGAGTGCTGCTTGCAGTGTGCTGGGTACTGCTTGCAGCTTGCACTGGCAACAGCTGTACATGTGGTGGGTGGAGTGGGTCCAGGGGGCATGCTGCATGTGGTGCCTGTGCCAGATTGAGTCTGCGTGCTGGATCTGGCACATGGGGTATGTGGGCCTGACCCAGACCAATCTCAGATCCAGCATGCAGGGTCTGCCTAGTGTGAGCACCTCATGCCATGTGCAGTATAAGCCACAGCCTGGCCCTACATGCTGTGCATGACAGCCCCAGTGCCACGCAGCTCGCAGTATATGGGGCTGGTCCAGGGAGTATTCTGCATGTGGTGCCTGCACTAGACTGGCCCTGCAAACTGTATCTGGCACGTGGGGCTGGCCTCTGGGATCAATCCAGCCCGGCCTTAGATTCAACATGTAAGGTTGGTCTGGCACAACCATCACGTGCAGCGTATGTCCTGGACTAGCTCGTGCTATGTGCAGTGCATATGCCAGCCCCCAAATCATGTGCAGCCTGTGGGGCTGGGGCCAGTTCGTGCTGCATGCAGCATGTGGAGTGGTCTGAGACCACAAGTAGTGCTGTGGGCCAGATGATTGGCCTTAAATTGGATCCAGCCCATGGGATATAGCTTTGACGGCTTTGCTTTAAATGAAGAACCTGAGTAGAGAAGGCAGGGAAGAGGCTTCAGGAAGTAGTTGTTTTGCAAATAAGCAACAGGAGGTAAGGATTGAATCCTGTTAAATCCCACCTCAGTACCAATCCCTGATAGGACATCTACCCAAAAGAATCTAAGTTATCACTGGCGTGGCATATCATGTGAATACTGATGAGTTGATTCCTCCCAGTTATGTGGTTTTGGAGCCAACTGAGCCTATTTTGGTTCATTCACCTTTTATCCTCCCTACTCTTTTTTTTTGCTTGTCATAGTCACTTATGTCCTGTCTTATACTAAATTCTAAGCTCTGAGGTGAGGATTCTCATGTAATGTTTTTATGATGTCTAAGCACAGTTAGGCACCAGTACTTGGTTGACTTTTGAGGTGCCACTACATTATAGTCACAGTAGCAGCAATGGTGGAGAGAGTAGCACTGCTAGATGAGGAATGTGACCGACCTGAATGAGGAAAGAATGTATTTTCACAGGGGAAATCAATGTAGAGATGGTGGTCTACATGTGGTCAGTGAAGCAGGAGAGGAAGAACAGGATTTGGGGGTGAATTGGGGTTGACATCTCATGAAGGATGTTTTTCAGTTGAGCAGGGCAAAAGAATCAACAGTGGAAGAGAATAGATTTGGGCTGGGGGGGAGGGGGAAAGGGAGGATTAAACAACAGTGAGGGGGGAGGGCATCCTGAATGTAGCAGAGCAGCCACGGTGACATTGATATGAGGTCATGGCTTAAAAAAAGGGGGGGGCAAAAGTGGAAGTAGAGATGATTGCAGAGGGAACTCAGCTGTGGAGAAACTGGAGAGGGAAGAGCTCTAAATCAAATGGGGGAGGGGGAATTTTAGGTGGCAGAATTGATCCAGATGTGAAGGACCTACAAGGGGATGTGAGTGTAGAGGCTAAGAAACCTGGTGAACAAGGGCATCAGTGTGAAAGAGGAAGGAAGCAAGGAGGTTGCCAGGAGAGAGAAAAGAAGAATCTGGTGTCAAAGTTAAAAAGGAGGATGTGAGGAGATGTGAAGATTTAGAGGGGTGCAAAGGGTATTACTAAAGCTTGGTTTATGCTGCACAATTTTGTTGGCAGTGAATGTGAAATAATAATGTTCCTTAACCAGTCTGGCTGTGCTGACAAAATCCCTCATCTGGACACAGCTGTCAACTTGTGCTGCTCCAGGTATTATAGCTAAAGCAGCTGAAAAATGTTTGCATCTCCACTAGGGGGCTCTGCCTATGTAGCTGCACTTGGATAGCTGTAGGGGCAGAGGAGCCATAATGCAGATAGTCATTTCCTCTCCCTTCTTCCCTCTTCAGAGAGGCAGAGCAGAATTTCACCAGGAACACAAATAAAAGTAATGAAAAGATAACCTGGATGAGAAGGAATATTTCTTAGGGATGATTTAAGGAGGGGAAGAGGAGAGACTGTGTTTAGCTGTGGAGATTTCAGTGGATCCTTGGGGAAAGAGGGAAGAGGAAGCAGGTAGGCAGTAGGTTTGACATGTGTGAAAAACTGAGCAGAGGAGAAGAGGAAAAATTGAGGACAGAAGAAGAGTCCTGGCTGGAAGCAGATGTCCTTCAAGGCATGAGGAAGAGTAGAATGTGGAGGCAGACAGGGAGTGGTTGGGTGGAAGGGATGCTGAATATTTCTACAATCAGGCCCTTCTGGATTGCCTGTCTAATCCCTAGAATTAAAAACACTTCTGTTACAGGACAAAAAGTAGTGAGATGGTTTGTTTTATAGGGTGGTTGTGGAGTGCATAAAAGAAGGAGGTCGTCTAAATATTCCTCTTACCGTCCTGTTGAAGATATTACTGAAGAGGACTTGGAGAATATCGCAATTACAGTTAAAGATAAAATCTATGATAAAGTCCTGGTACGTGCCTACTTTTACTTTTAACTTCTTAAAGTGTGGTGAGGTAAATATTTTTATTTTACAAAGTGAGTTTAGGACTCATTTAAGGTAAATGAAATCAAGAGTTCAGGAGACTGAAGTCCTGTATTTTATCTACTTCATGGATACAGTGTGAAAGTTGCTTCACCCTGCAGTGACACTGTGCTTTGTCCTCAGGTTAGAGAAATCCCCTCTGAAGAGAAAAGGTCGAGCAGTCTCCCATTGCTTGTTTTCTGCAAGCAGAGGTGCAGTTGTGATAGGGGCATTTTGCTGCTTAGACCACCAAATCATTTTTTTTACTGCAGAGCTGTTACATGGTAATTGACATTGCCATGAATGATCTGGGCTCATTGAGACCTAGTAAGTTAGAAACAAAAGATTCCAGATCCCATTAGCCTTCCATTCCAACTTAATAGCACTTCATGGTAATTTATGTTACTTGAGAGGAGTGCTGAAACCTGGAGTAGAGAGGGTCATTCAAAGGGAAATTGGGATTGCACTCAATGGCCTAGGAGCCCCCTTCTACTTCTATGTTTCTGTGAAATTTAATGAATGCCTACAGTGCATCTTTCCAGAATGCAGACTACTTTATAAGTGTCTGTGCTAGGGTTAGCTCAAAAAAATGTTTGGTCAATTGACCGGTTAAATAATACCAAATATTTTCAAATAATGGCCAAATATTTTAAGCATTATTTTAGTAGAAAAGCAGACAGAGACTTTAATTTTCCTAGGTTAGATACTTATGCTCTTTAAAACCCCCCTGCAAATTAGTTAACTTATTGTGAAAAAATAACATTACATTTTAAAGAATTTTCGTGAATATAATTATTAATGTTAGGTAAGTGTAGATGTGAATGATATTCAAGATTAAACGGTTCTTTTTCTTGGCTTTTATCCCCAAGCCCCGGTGTCAGCTCCAACAGTTACAACTAAATATATAAATACATTAAAAAGAAATAGCACACACAGCAACTATAAAAGACAAAAGTTAGTTTTTAAAATGGAGTTGTGCTAAGTAGGCAGCAGATCAATGCTTCAAGCGTTTTGCTGTTTGCTTTTGGGGATGCCTACAGTCACAGCAGATGGCCAGTAGGAGAAGCTTTTCTATGATGGTTTTGTTTCTTTGAGTAGCTCTTGAAGCCCCACATAGCTTAATGGGGAGAAGGAAAAGGAGGCTGGAAGAAAGACTAGAAGAGCAGGGGGTTGCGGGGTGTGTGTGTACACTTGCAGGACTGAGGTGCAAGGAGCTGTCTGTCCTGCCCTCTCTGTTATAACGATGAACTTATATGCTATGAAGACCTGAACTGGAATTCCTTTGTAAATGCATCTAAAGGTTTCTAGGCTTTGCCAAGGATGTGGGATTGGGGTATACTACACAAGATTCCAAAGCAGTTCATGCCTGTCTCTTTTGCGGGATACCTAGCATTCAGCAGGGCACTGTATAAATAATCATGCTAGTGGAAGCTATGTTTTTACTAATGTTCTTTATTGATCTAGTCACCTTTGGTTCCAGGTCTGGAGAAAATTCAAGTGCCACTGTCAGCTAACAGAAATTTATTATGAAATTCCAGCAGCTGGCATCAGGAAGTTCAGCATGTCATGATGAATGCACAGAACTTGTATACATCTCTTTTCCCCTCCTCTCTAACTTCAGGGTAGTACATGTCATCAGTGTCGACAGAAGACAATTGATACGAAGACAATCTGTCGTAATCAAGGTTGTGGCGGTGTAAGGGGACAGTTCTGTGGACCATGTCTTCGAAATCGGTATGGTGAAGATGTGAAATCGGCACTTCTGAATCCAGTAGGTATTTGGTTCTTTGGTTTAAAACAGTATAGTGTAATGATTAAGGTTTGCTGTGCATTCATCTCTGATTCCTATGATAATATGAAATTCATGCTTTCTGCCACATAAAATCCTGAGTGATGTGGTTATGATTGATTAATGCTGACTTGTTGGAGTAGGGACGTGAGTACAAGAGCTTGGGTCTAGGTTGGAGCCCTTTAATCTGTTCTTAGGCCCACTGGATAGTGGGAGGACTACTCAAGAGCTTAGAATAAAGGAAATCAGGCTCTCCCAAGATTAATGAAATAGACTCATTCTTTCTTTCTCATTCTTTTCATTTTTTTTGTGGTCTTTTTGTCCGCCTCATAAATGTTTTGTGGTCCACAAGGCAGGCTCCTTGTTTTATATACTAAACTTAAACATAGAAAAGGAAAAAAATCACAAGAACTTATGTAGTATACCTTTTTCCTTTATTTTTACCTTCCATAAATGAGCTGAGCCCCTATCCTGTCCTCAGTACCTACTAGGTGTCTAAGTGGTACTTGGCTATCTAAGTGTGATTGTATTCCATCTTGCTTGAAGAATCATTGATGCATAAGGGGCAGATTGTCTTCCTCGTTTTTTTGTAACTAAGTCTTTAAGTCTCAGGCACATTACAAAAGTAAAAATGTGTTAGGGATTCAAGAGGGTAGAATGTGCCTGGTAGGTAGAAAAAGATCTAGCCCTTAGGCATGTCTATATGGCTTCACTTCCTGTTGCTGATTGTATATAAGCCTTGCCTACTTCTTCCATTGCCATCTCCATCATCTTCAGACTAGAGGCAAGCAGTTAGGCAGATTTGATGGCTCAGAGCTGCTCCGAGTGCACGTTCCCAGGGCGTGCTCGCCTTAGAGCACATGGATGAGAGGTGGGCACACACAGCCACTTCCAAGCTAGCTGTTGTGCTGTTTGTCACTGTCTGGTGTGTGAGAGTGGGCAGGGCTTATTTTGTTGGTAGCAGAAAACCCAGGGTCAGGAAAGAAGCTGTATATACAAGGCCTTAGAGTTGTAACCTCTCCCTCTTGGGGGATTATTGGGTCCAGCCAGCCCCCTGACTGACTCATAATAAACCTACATCTAACCTTGAGCTTCCTCTCTGAGCTTGCCTCTTTAGAACCTTCTCTCATGAAGAAGCACACCTTTCTTCCTATTTGGAGCTAATTGACTCTACCTCCTAGCATGACAGAGCAGTAATTACTGTACAGTATGAAGCAGGTTTTCAGCCCCTGCATCTGCTATCATGAGCTGTACATCTTTTACAGACATTGTGTTCCCTGTGGTCCCTTGTCCCTGCAGAAATGCCCAAGATATCTCCACCTTTGTTTACTCCTGTGTAACCCAATTTCTATTGTCACATGTTGCTGCTACCAGATAATTTCTCTTGCTCTGAACCCTGCTTAACTATGCTTAGTATTAAATGTTTCTTTTTATTGGTTTAGATCTAACTGCATGTTTCACATGGCTTTTACAACAGATCACACAGCCTCTAAGTTAGTGTACACACCCATCCCTTCCTGGTACTTGTGTTTTAGCAGTAAGTTTAAAGAATAAAATGCAAATCTTAGACCTTCTGTCCTAGTTCTCTGGCTTTGACACTCCATTTCTTTATGTTTGAGTTGGAGTTCCTTGGGCCAGCCTTGTATCTTGAGACAAGCAACCTTAACGCAGAATCTTAATGCTATAAGGTTCTTAGTCACCCAAGTGTATACAGTCCTGGAACAGAAGGGTCCGCTTTCCTGTTGTACCCCTTTTTTGTTAGAGACATGAATACTGCTAGAATTTAAGCTGATTTTGAGGAAGTTATCCTTAGCATTTCATGTTTTGCAAGACAAAGAATCAACTAGACAGAAGAGTGTGTTTCTGCAGATCTTCTGAGCACCTTGAAGACTGGTTAGTTGGCATTAGTCATCAATATTTCATAGATTCATATACATTATGGCTGGAAGGGACCTTGTAAGATCTTTGGGTCCAGCCCCCTGCCCAAAGGGCAGGAAGTCAGCTAGGGTCAAAAGGATCCCAGCAAGATAAATGTCCAAATGTTTCTTGAAAGAGTCCAGAGCAGGTGTTTGCACCACCTCTGGGGAGAGTTTGTGCCAGGCCTTGGGGACTTGGACAGTAAAGGAAGTTTTTCCTTATATTTAGCCTAAAAAGGTCTTGCAGGAGTTTGTGATAACTGGACCTTGTCATCCCTTGGGGTGCTCTGGTGAACAAGTGTTCCCCGAGATCTTGGTGCACACCCCTTATGTACTTATAGGCTGCCACCAAGTCACCCCTGAGCCTGCACTTCTCCAGGCTGAAGAGTTGCATAGCTCACAACCTCTCTTCATAAGGCCTGTTCTCATGCCCTCTGATCATGCACGTGGCTCTCCTCTGGACTCTTTCAAGCTTCTCCACATCCTTCCTAAATTGTGGAGCCCAGAATTGGATGCAGTACTCCAGTTGCGGCCTCACCAAGGCCGAGTACAGTGGGAGGATGACATCCTGGGTCTTGCTCGAGATGCATTGGTAGAATGTTGCTGAAATAAAATATAGCCCTGTAAAATGCATTGCTGGACATATGGTACTGCTTTCTGTTTAAAGGCAGTAGGAAGAAGACTTATAGGTTTGGTCCTGAGTTTCCTCTAATAACTATGCCTTTTTCTTTTCTTCTCTAATTCAGGATTGGATTTGTCCTCCTTGTCGCGGTGTGTGTAATTGCAGTTACTGCCGCAAGCGTGATGGCCGCTGTGCCACAGGAATGCTCATCCACTTGGCAAAATTTTATGGCTATGACAATGTTAAAGAATATCTTGAAAGGTAAGAGGAATGTTGTGGCTGCTGTAGAGCTGAGCTACAATTCAGTGTGCTGCATGAGCTTTAATTAGGGTATCTCAGAACATCCTCTCTGTCATTTCAGCTAGTGGACTTCATTCACTTCTCATATTGAATCAACTCAATCAGAAGTCAAAGTAAATAGTTAACTTAAGTATCTCATTTTAAGATAATAGTACAGAGAAGGCATAGGTAGTTTTTACCTTAGTGTAGCTGGGGAAGATCACTAGTCATTACTGTGTGCAGCTTAAACCAAATTCAAAATCAGTCACAGGAATTTGAAACTAACTAAACCTTAAAAGCAGTGATTTTTCAGGATGTGGAAGATATAGACCTATAGAGATTGATGGAAACATTTTTGAAGCGAATCACATTCACTGGGCAAACAAATAATACAACTTAAAAACAGCCACTGTTTTATATTGAAAAAAAGTAGCTTGTTGTTAGATGTTTGCTTTTGTTAAATGGACTCTGAAAACAGTTGTTAGTGACCATTTGAAATAGAAGCTTCTGGTTTAAGGGAGAAGTCTTAGATCCTCCTAAGATGTAATGTTTTTTCCATCTTTTTTCCAGTTTACAAAAGCAACTTGCTGAAGATGAATGAGGATGCTGAACATAGCTGCCTGACCTGGATAACTTGTAGACAGATATTTACTTCAAAATAATTAGTTCAAGGTTTAAAAATTTATACAAGATAGAATTGTAGAATATAGCATAACATTTCTGTTTTAGGATTTTTTTAATTGATTGATCTCAATCAAAGATCTCTCCAAAAATATCTTGGTTAAAGGAATCTATGTAAATTACATTCTTTTTGTGCATAAACACCTGTATCTAAAGTGGAACAGTGCTCTTAAAACATGTATGGGTGGTTCTGCAGTATTTCTGAAAACACAACAGTAGGGAATTGTGTAAGCATAAAGAGTCTTACGAATTTGGATCTTAATATTATTTTGGTCAAAGCAATATTTTTTATTTATATAAAATCATTGTCAACTCCAGTTTGCATGGGGTATGTTTATATAATCTATCCAAGGACACACAAGGGTTCTCCCCCCCACCAATGACCTGACAACAGGTGTAAGTTTTCTGAAGCCTTCCCTACTGGGCATGAGCAGATCAAGTAACTGCATGCTTAGTCATCCAGTTTGTGGGCAAGCATGGGGTTCAGCTTTGTAAAAAAGGTATCCGTTTCCTTAGTTTCAGTGCAGTTCCATCAGCTTTGGCTGGAATGAACGTGCATCCTTCCACTGAAATATTTTTTTTAATGGAAAGGGTACAAACAGACAAACCCATCATGGTAAAAGACAGACATTAGGGGGCTTTGGTATGATGCTCACCAATTACAGGTTTTTTATATGATGCACCTGCTTTCTGAGCCAGCTGCTTTAGAACAATATTAGATGGTTTAATTTTACATTGCAAAGTTTTTAATCTTTTATAATAACTCTTTTTGGATACTGTTTTGCTATGTATGAGACAGCATATCTGATTAGGTAAGAGCAGGCTTTTCAGACAACATTGTTTAAAAAATGCTTTTATTGCAAACTTGGATTTATGTTAAAATTTGTGTAAGATATTGTATTTTTTCTATGTAGAGAGAATAAAGAATTATTCAGTGAGGAACGCTGACAGTTAAAACTGCTAAGAGTTTTGAGGCTTGGTAATGTAACACAGCTAACCTATATATATGGGGAATAATGTCAGTCAACACGTGCCAATCTATTAGGTGAAGAAACATGCACTCATGATATAGAAGGGGGTTGTTGTATAATATGCTGTACAGCATGGTGCGATACATAGGATGTACTATAAACATAGTGAAATTAACGCGATATCTGTCTGATTGTAAGGCTGTAAGAGCAGCTGTTACCAGAGGCTCTGTACTAAACTGCCAAGAGTAAGGCTACTCCTGCCAGCACCCACTTGACTGACTTTTCCTTGCTTCTCAGATTAAATGTCCAAACATAGGTGGAGCCTCGGTTTTTAGTTTTATATATGGGACATTCGTATATGTTTCTGGTTTCCTGCCGATCCATTGGTATAGCTCTTACAAAGATGACTGGCATTGCTGGAGTCAGATCCTTGAGCTGGGCTTCAGCTATGACCCCTGACTGGGTATCCCACCTGGCTCCTGTAACAAAATATGCACAAACAGTTTAGCAGCACACAATGTACACAACTAGTAGTAGACTACTATATCCTCAGGAATACCAAAGAACAAAGCTAAGATAGGCAAAGTTCAGGTTGTAGGCCAGGTGTGACCTACTACATCCTATCATGCAGCTTACCCCTTCTGTGCTACAGGTGGGAATTGTGTTAAAAATGGTGATATCTATGGCACAAGGCAGCAACAGTGCTGAGACATGCCTTGCCTATGGTACTTGCAGTGTAGGAACTAGAGTAAGCAGAAGTGGTGGGACATGTCCTAGCACTTCTCTGTGCCAGTATATCTTGCATTTATCATCATCCAGTGCTATCTTGAGCCTTCCTATTGACATACAAGATAGAATGCTGTGTTTTGGGCCTGTCCTTCCAGTAGCACAGTTTTTAATAGATGAAGTGGCTGTTCTTTAGTGCTTTTAGTTGAAATTTGGTGCTGTAATGTGGCCTCTGGTGCTGTAAGTGTAGATTTCTGACACTAGCAAGGTTTGAAGAGTTATGTCAGTTTGCAGCAAGTGTAACTTTTGTGGGAGCCATAGACTTAAAATGGAGCTAAAGCATAGTGAAAGGCTTTGTCTTCACAGCTCAAAAGGTGTGTATTTGTGGAGCAAGACAACTTAACTACAGCTTGTTATCTCTGTAGTATTGTAGTGGAGACAAAGCTTAGGTAGATTTTTCCTTATTGGAGGTTGCAAATGTCAATGCTCCACCTGGTTTAATCTCAATTAGCTACACTCAGAGAACACCTGCTGTGGCAGGTGTTTAGAACAGAAAAGCCAGATTCATGCCTGGTGCTGAGAAGTCTCAGATAGGATAGACCTCAGTGGGTGGTGAACATGCTCATCAGCACAGAAGTTTAGGTCCAAAAAGCAGTGAAATAGGTGTAATATGTCAAATTTACAGACCCTTAATATTTTTCTAAAAAAAACTTAGCAGCACTGGTTCTTGGTGCGTGCACAAAGCACATGTAGAGTTTGAGTCCTTTTACCAGGGTGAAGGTCTGCATTAGAAATCTCTTCATCTAAGGACTTCTCATTTAATCACACACTGTCCATTTGCCCAGGAGACACATCGACACTGCGAGTTCTGATTACTGTTGTAAAGCTAAATAGCAGCTTTTTAGCTGCATAAATGCCAAAATGCCACTGACAGGTAGCAGTTCTATTACTGCTGCAGTGTTGGTGTGTGAAAGTGCACATGTAGATGGGGCACAATGGGTTGTATACAGTTGGGTATATACCCAACTGTACATGGATCCATATTTGCCTGTGTCAAAGACACATCTGGAAAATGGTAGGGGGCAGCTTTTTGGCCCCCAACGTGTAATTTTCCAGGACTTGCACTTAACTGCATATGTGCCTGGTCAGTGCACAGCCTTACAGCACATGTTCCGTTTGAATGCACAAGCTTATGTGAGGGCCAAAAAATAGCCAAGTGGATAACTGGAAGCCTGCTATTTAGCCACACAAAGGAAGCGACTTCTAGCTTATGTTACCTTGCCTTCTGATTAATGCTACTACTCATCCTCTCTCAACCCATCCAAATTACCTTATTTCTGTATGTGGAGGTTCAGTGTCTTGGTGTCTTAGGCACAGACAGTGGTTGATGCACTCTATCTACTGCTGACCCAGCATTAAGCTCTGCCAAATCTAAGACCATTTAAAAGTCTACTGTAATGCTGGCTGTGATTACCTAGAAGTCTGTTCTGCTTCATGGGGGTGCAGAGTAGAGTTATTGATCCAACTGAGGGCACTTGAAGTAGCTTCTCAAATAACTGAACTACTCAGCCTCTTCCTTGGATCCATTCAGTGTATTTTCACAAACTGCTACCACCACCAGTTATGTATCCACCTTGCAGTACTTTCACCTAGTCTCTGTTTCCTTAGTTTATTAATGAGAATGTTGGAAGACTGTAATACCGCCTTGATAAAAATCAAAGTCTGTCGCATCCACTGCTCTCCTCTCATCACCTGTCATAAAGGAAACTCAGGTTGGTCAGGCATGACTTGCTCTTGGTGAATGCATGCTGGCTGCTTCTGATCACCTTGCTGCTTCAAACTAGATTCTTTAAGGACCTTCTCCATGATCTTTACTGAGGTCAGACAGACTGGTCTGCAAATCTGTGGATCCTCCTTACCTTTCTTAAAGATGGGCACTATTATTACCCTTTTCCAGTCATCTGGGACTTTACCTGACATCCACAATTTCTCCAAGGGGGTAACTAATGGCTCTGATATCAAGTGACTTAAGAACAGGCTTCTTACCCTCCATAAAAAGTCCACAGATATATGCTCCTTCTCTTGGTGGGTGGCCATAATCATCTTTGTTCTTTTTGGTAACATCTACAGTAAGGCACATCTTATCCAAAGGCCAGTTGTTCTTGCGGGCCATGCTCTGCATAACAGCTGAAATTATTTTTTTTCTGATTAATTCACTGCAGGCAAGTCATTTTAATGTTACTCTTCTCAGGTATGTCATAGCCAAAATGAACATGGATCATAACTTTCAGTCATTTCATTGAAACGAATCACAAGAAATCCATTGGAAAAACTGCATTTGAACTTTTAAAAACAAATGAAGGCAGTGTGGTCTGAATCAGGGATGGGCAACCCCCAGCATGGGTGCCAGAGCATTTTGCTTGGCATGCAGACAGCTGGGGGAAGAGCCAGGGCTGCACTGCCACAACAAGGATTGGGCTCCTTGTGGCTCCCCCTCCATTCACTCTAGCCCGCCAACATCTTATAAGTTGAAGTTGCGGGCGTTTTTGGCGCACTGCCTAAAAACATTGCCTACCCCTGGTCTAGACAAACTTGTTTCTTTTTTGTACACTAGTGACAGTATTTTACAAAGTAACAGATGTGAGGCAAAATAGTACATTAAGGAAGGAATGTGCAGGTTAAAACACATGGAGCAGGAAACCTAGGACTAAATGAGCAGTTCAAATATAAGACTTCTTTTAGCAGGTATACATTTCTAAATGTAGCATTTCTTTCGTATCTTCTTGCCACCAGATTTTAATATAACAAGAGACGGAAAGAGGCTGTTCATAATTTTCCTCCACTTCCAAGTTTCAGTCTTTAGATGCCTCACTGCATGGGGAAGAACTACTTCATAAATGTTTAAGGGTTTTTAAAAATTGAACAACTTGCATAGGTGGCACTGACAGCCTAAAACAAGGTTGGCAACAATTTTTCAAGCAATAGTGTCAAATCAAAATCATATGGTATCTTATTTTCGCACAAGATGGTTAAACATGAGAAATTTCAGTATCTTAGTTTTTCATTTTTATTTTGTTATTTCTTTACTTTTTTGCATGTGTGTTCTGTAGTTTAAAATAGATAGGACTGCTTTAAGCAAATTTCCTTAATCCCTTTTCATGCAGTAGCATAACATGGCATCAGTACTGCAAATACCCAGAAGGCATGATTATGTTGAAAACATGTAAAACTAAATGTAATTTTTTTTCCAAAGCTTTAATTTGGAGCTGAAGCAACTCCTCCAGCACTGCTCCCTTGTGGGGGTATCTGCCCTTACTACTTACCAGTCAAAAAGGACTGGGGATTAAAGAACCCAGACAGCCACACCACTGCTGGAAGCACAAGATCTTGCATCCAGGTATCAAGTTCTCGATAGCGCTTGAGAAGGTCTTTAACCCTGAGCGAAAAGAAGAAGCAGGGAAGCAGGGACCTTAGTTTTAGTGGAATAGTGATCAAGGACAGAAGTACTTTGTAACAGCTGAGGTGTGCAGTGTCTTTGTATGGGAAGAAAGGATGGGGATGCTGTAGCCACAAGGGATACGTCTCAAGTATCATGGAAGAGCAAGGCTAGAGTGGGATTTACTTGGTTACTAATGTAGACAAGTCCAAGAATGCCACTAGTTTTACAAGTGCAGCTCCCAGCCTGGTGCCCTGATCAGGTGATTGAGTGATGGGGCAGGTCACAGAATCATAGAAAGTTAGGGCTGGAAGGGCCCTCTGGAGGTCATCTAATCCAACCCCCTGCTCAGTGCAGACCATCCCCAACTAGATCATCCTAGCCAAAGCTTTGTCTAGCCAGGTTTTCAAAACTCCCAAGGATGGAGCTTCCATCACCTCTCCAGGTAACCTGTTCCAGTGTTTTACTACCCTCCTAGTGAGAAACGTCTGCCTAATACCTAACCTCAACTTCCCTTGCTGCAACTTTGAGACTGTTGCTCTTTGTTCTGTCATCTGCCACCACTGAGAATAGCCTAGCTTCATCCTCTTTTGAACCCCACTTCAGGTAGTTGAAGGCTGCTATTACACCCCCGCTCAGTCTTCTCTTCTCTAGACTAAATAAGCCCAACTCTCTCAGCCTCTCCTCATAAGTCACATGCTCCAGCCCCCTCACCATTTTTGTTGTCCTCCACCGGACTCTCCAATCTGTCCACATCCTTTCTGCAATGGGGGGGGCCCAAACCTGAACACTGTACTCCAGATGTGGCTTCACCAATACTGAATAGAGGGGAATAATCACTTCCCTTAACCTACTGACAACACACCTACCAATGCAGCCCAGTATGCTGTTAGCCTTCTTGGCAATTAGGGCACACTGCTGGCTCATATTCAGCTTATTGTCCACTGAAAGCCCCAGGTCCTTTTCTGCAGAGCTGCTGCGCAGCCAGTCAGCCCCCAGCCTGTCTGGTGCATGGGATTGTTCCGTCCTAAGTGCAGGACTCTGCAGTTGTCCTTGCTGAACTTCATGAGATTTCTTGGCCCAATCCTCCAATTGTCTAGGTCACATTGAATCCTAGCCCTACCCTCCTACATATCTACTACTCCCCCCAGCTTGGTGCCATCTGCAAACTTGCTGAGGGTGCACTCTTTGCCATCTTCCAAGTCACTGATGAAGACATTGAACAAAACCGGCCCCAGGACCAACCCAGGGGCACTCCACTTGATACCGGCTGCCAACTAGACATCAAGCCATTGATTACTACCCTCTGAGCCTGATGCTTCAGCCAGTTTTCTATCCACCTTACAGTCCATTCATCTAGCCCATACTTCCTTAGCTTTCCCGCAAGAAATGGGAGACTGTATCAAAAGCCTTGCTAAAAACAAGGTACACCACATCCACTGAGCCAGTCACCTCATCATAGAAGGCAATCAGGTTGGTCAGGTATGACTTGCCCTTGATGAATCGATGCTGACTGTTCCTAATCACCTCTTTTTCCTCCAAATGCTTAAAATGGATTTCTTGAGGATCTTCTCCATGATTTTTCCAGGGACTGAGGTGTGGCTGATTGGTCTGCAGTTCCATAGATCTTCCTTTTCCCTTTCTTAAATATGGGCACTATGTTTGCCCTTTTCCAACCATTTGGGACATCTCCTGATTGCCATGAGTTTTCAAAGATGATAGCCAATGGCTCTGCAATCTCATCAGCCAACTCCCTCAGCACCTTCAGGTGCATCCCATCCGGCCCCATGGACTTGTACACATCCAGCTCTTCCAAGTAATCCATAAGCTGTTCTTTCACCACTGAGGGCTGCTCACCTCCTCTCTAAACTGTGCTGCCCAGTGCAGTAATCTAGGAGCTGCCCTTGCCTGTGGCATTGAGCACTTCAGCCTTTTCTGCATCCTCTGTCACAAGGTTGCCTCTTCCATTCAGTAAGGAACTCATACTCTCCCTTATCCTCTTGCTACCCACATACTTGTAAAAACCCTTCACATCCCTTGCTAGCTGCATCTCCAGTTGCGCTTTAGCCTTCCTGATTTCATCCCTGCATGCCCAAGCCATGCTCTTATATTTTTCCCTAGTTACTTCAAGTTTCCACTTCTTAGAAGCTGGCTTTTTGTGATTTAGTTTACTGAAGAGTTCCCTGCCAAGCCATGCTGGTTTTCTGCCATAATTGCTAGTTTTCCTGTGCATCGGGATTGTTTGTTCTTGTACTCCCAGTAAGGCTGCCTTAAAGTACAGCCAGCTCTCCTGGACTCCTCTCCCCCTGAGACTGGCCTCCCAGGGGATCCTGCCCATGAGTTGCCTGAGCAAGTCAAAGTCTGATTTTGTGAAGTCCCAGGTCCTTACTCTGCTGCTCTACTTCCTTCCTTTCCTCAGGATCCTAAACTCAATCATCTCGTGGTCACTGCTGCCCAAGTTGCCATCCACTACTACATTCCCCACCAATTCTACTCCTGGTGGTGGGAGCTGCCAATTGCAGGGCCCAGGAAGCAAGAGCAGTTTGTTGCCATTAGCAGCAAACTGCTACTGCTTCAGTTTGCTGCTCCTGCTTTCCAACATGTGTAGACACCTGCCTGGGAGCATTTACTCACAAGTAGTTTACTTACAAGTAAACTGCTCCCGGATCTAATGCACATGTAGACACATCCTCTAAAAAGGAAAAGTTTAGAAACATGAAATCTTTCCCGCTTATTCGAGGGTGTGAACACATTCTGTTAAGGCTGATATTTAAAGGGGGAAGAATTGTGCTGCTCATAGGGTTATGAATGGCAAGGAAACCATGTAAGCTATCATTATCTGGTAAAGTGCTGCAGTGTACTTACCACTGGGCAAGGCCGTATGTGGAAGGATAAGCCAGTCTGGTCCATGTGTCAGGTACAGTGTCATAAAACAATGCTGACTGCTGTGCTTCCATTTCAGGTGAAAATGTCAGCTCCCCCTTTGTTTGGAGAAAGATAATCAGTTTATTTGACAACAAGAAATAATTATTTGTCTGCAAAAGAGAGTCACTTCTCCTACCTTCAAACCAAGATCCAGTTGTTTAAGCGATTTGCGTATCTCTGAAATGAGGAGATTCATCCTTTCACACTCTTGGAAGCAAACAAGCGTATAGGGACTTTTGGGACCAGTGAACTTCTGTATGACCTCGATCATGTTAAACTCCTCAGGAAGTTTCTCCACAATCTCATCCAGGACATTCTTAACCTGAGCATACCAACACCAACAGGGTGAGCTGAAATCATTACTGGGTTTAGCTTTTAGGTCAGTCCCTTAGACTATGCTTCTGCTTTCATTTATAGGTACAGCTGCGGAAGGGACGATATTATAGAGAGGTTCACTGAGGTTTGGTCTGGTTAGCACTAGTCATGACTAGTGCTTATATAAATAATCAGGACCAATCAAGATTATACCTATTCTGCTTAGTCATGAGCCAGGGTCACAGTAGGGACTGAAACCAAAACTAATACCTTGCATTTTGCAAGGCTAGTCACTTGCAAAAGTTCAATGAGCTTTTGTTAAAGCACCCCCACAGCCATTTTGAAATGAAGGGATGCTGAGGCTGCTAAAGCATCAATTAATCGAGTCTGCTCCAACTCATTCTAATTTGAACGCATCTGAACAGGCATTGGACATGTGTATAGGCGCCCTAAAGTCACATAGTTCCCAATGCCATAGAATGAATAGGAGCAAATCATAAAAAGCTACAATAAGCCATCCTCAGGAAAAGGCAGATCTGGGCCACATTCTTCTCTTGCATGCACAATGCAGTTTCCTTGCTGAGTCCAGGGGCCCACTGGCAACCTGGGACATGGTGAGTGGCCAGAGAAAAGAGGCAGAGGCAACAATCCCCCTAGAAAGGATGCTGCAGCAGACTTTCTGGGTAGCCATGGGCATGTGGGTTCCTGGCTATGTTTTCGCTTGCAACTTTTTATTTGGGAGAGGAACACAGGAGTGAATCTCAGAGGCAAGTACAAATCATAGACGCCCCCTATAATTTGTATTAGAACAGGTAATGATCATGACCTGAATAGGCATGACTAGCTGCCTTCACATAACAGATAGTCATATTTTAAGTTAATTACAAAAGTGTGCGTGTGCCAGACTCATTAAAACAGTCATAGTTAAATTGTTTTCATTTAACAGTGGGTTACTGGGTGTCAGGAATTCAGGAAGCTAACTTTAATAGGAAAAAAATACTTTATTGCTGAATAAATCCCCACTCTACCATTCCACTATATTTTTATAGGGATCAACAATGCTATCCAACATGTGAGTAACTTAATCGTGTTGTTTCTTTATGATTATGACATATCTTTGAGTACTCTAATAGTGAAGTGGATAGGAGAGGAGCATAACTCCTCTATGATCAAAACCAAGAAATGCCCTCTCGACATCGACTTTTAGATGCCTGGCCACTATAGTTTACAGCCTGAGTTAAGCACCTGAATTCTGTGCAATACAGGGGTAGAGCTAGGCACCTCATACCAGGATCCATAAAAACCAACACACTAACTTGACTTCACCAAATAGTAACAGTTGAGACAACGCACAGCCCTGTCATATAGTAAATCACTTGAATTTAAGGATAAAGTTACTACTTGAAAAATGCGTAGTAACTGGGTGCATCTACATGAGATTTTGACTGTGCAGTAGACTAATTAGCTGTGTAGTAAGTGTCTTGGTGTTTACATGTTTCCCCATATTAGGCTGGAGTAAAATAATGTAATCTGCAGCAGGAGAGTGTAGTTTACAAGTACTCTTCTTCTGCGGAGTAAAAAACTCCACAGCAGTGCATGTGTAGATGCTGCCCCAGCTGGCTAGGACATGAGGGGGCTGCCTGCTGGCTAGTCCTACATTGAAGCACCTCATGCCCCAGCCAGCCCCTATACAGCATGCTTTGCTGAGGCCCTGCCTGCCGGGGCTGCTCCAAACCAGGTCAACATGCTGTGCTCTTGGGTGCATGTTCAAATGGCAATAAACTCCAGAATTTATTGCTTTAGACTTTATTGCTCCTGGGCTCATGTTCAAATGGCATGCTCGGGAGCAATAAACTCTGGTACAATAAAGTCCGGAATTTAGTGCTTTGCACTAATTGCATGTGTAGACATGTCCACTGTGGAGTAAAAGTTACGATGCAGTGTGCGTCATGTATCTACTTTTTCATTCTGGGGGAGCTGGTTCTCTACCACCTAGTGGTCAGACACTGTAATTATTCCTTCTTCAGACAACCTGGTTTGGAGAACTGGCTATGTGCATGCTCTTTACCACAGAGCACATTGCCTACAGATTACAACCTGACATAAATTATTCTGTAATAATTGTGTCATATACCTGAATTGGCCTCAGTCTGCCAATAGAGAAAAACTGAGGACAGGGGTGAGTCTTAAAGCACAGGTTCCCAACCACCGGGCTACAGCCTGGTACCAGGCCGCAAAGGGTTGGCTGCCAGGCCACTGGCCATCATGTGCGGGGTTCAAACTGGGTGGTGAGGCAGCCCCAGGAGGGAGGCAGTCGGCTCTGTGCATCCCGTCTCGCTCCCACTGCCATGGCTGTGCCCAGCTGTGCCCATGCAGCAGGTACCGGGGCCCACGCCAGGCAGGACCCCCAGCCCCTGCCTGCGGGGAGGCGGTTCTGCTGCTTGCTTCTAAGGAAAGCAGCGGAGCCCCCTCTACCTGTGCAGCTCCAGCTGGGTCCCCCTGGGCAACTGCCTGCGCAGCCCCCTCCCCTGCAGGGTTCCCTGGTGCCTGCAGTGTGGTGTCCCAACCTGATTGGATTCTCACAACCCCCCTGCCAACCCATGTAAAAATTAAATTTAAATATGTAAATTAAATGCGAATATGTAAATTAAGTTTAAGCACGTTTGCCAGTCCTCAGTAAAAACAGGTTGGGAACCCGTCTTGAATCATACGTCTCCTCAGATGCATTTTACTCAGCACTGTAGGAAGGCACCTCCTTCCACTTAGGATTCACTACCTAGAAGCCTCCCCTGAAGGTATGTGCCTAAATCTTTACAATTCAGGATCCAAAGCAGGGCTCACTCATTTCTTTCAAAAAATAGCACATTGCATGGTGGGAAGGGCCCTCTCCAGGGAGGTGGAAGAGACTGAAACCCCTTAAGCAGATCAGGAAATGGAACACAGGCCATATTCTCCCCTCTGAGACTCCAGACCAAGTGTAATTGATATTAAGATGACTTTTTTTTGCAAACTCTATCTATAATGGACTTTCCCCCCTGCTTTTCTGAAAAAACTTTGCTTGCCTATTCAGCCCTTGGTATCTCTGCTGAAATTTCCAAAAGAGCCAAGCATAGAATGGCTTATGGGACATGGAAAATTGTGCATAGGATCTAGTGGTCTCACACACTTTGTAGCCTGGCAGGAGTCTTAGAACTCTGAATACCCTGAGTAAAAATAGAGGATTGCTCTGCTTAGCTACAGTGAAATGAAGGGAGCCTCTTGGTAGCAGAATGGTTAGATGTATTCATCTTAGCCCCATGTCATTCCGATATGCTTCCATGTCTAAATCTAGTCAGTTTAATATCACTGGGATCAGTTTTGGCTGTATAGAAATATTCCTGACACTAAATAGAACTGCAAAATGCATCAGTACTTATAAAGACCAGCGAGAGCTTTATCTATGTGCCTATATAGTTCTCATCATGGTAGTATCTGATTGCTTGCTAAGGATTTATGGGTTTATCCATCCAGTACCTCTGCAAGGGAAATAAGTATTTCTGTTCCATTAACATTTTGTACAGATGGGGAGCTGAGGCCTATGAAGACTGATGGGAAGATTCCCTGGAGAGATTTGTCTTCTTTGCACAACAGAGAACAGAAGCTTCCTACAAGTGTCCTGCAAGAAACACGTCTTGCAAAGGAAAGACCTCAGCAAGCTCAGAGGCAGGAGTGAGGCTCCTGTGTCTTCTTCCCTGCAATCAGACTGGGGGAAGAGAAGGTGATAGGCTGGAAAATGCCACACACTTCTATCCCTACCTGCCAGACTGTGCAGCTTAAACTATCCTGGGTGCATGGCAGTCAGGTGCGACTGCCTGACACACCACTCCCTCGCCACCAAGCCCTGCTCACTCTGTGGGAGCTTGCTGCAGCAGAGAATCTGCCTGCAAGTGATTTCCCACTCAAAGTCACACGGGGAGATGGGATGTGATGCCTGATCTTCACCTCTAGGCCGCATCAGCATCAAGCATTTAGCAGACACAGAAGTGGCTATCAAGTTGAAAGGTTACCTGTTTCCTAACTCACCAGTTTTAGAACAAAGAGTAATGAAGAGGGAGAAACAACTAGAATCAGGTGAATCTTAACACTGTATTTTTTTCTACATCAATATTGCCATAATTCCTCTCTTGAAAAACCAGAGATGGAATACAACATAGGTCAGCAATGAATAAGTTGTAATTAAACATGGCAACTGTTCCCATAAAAAATTAAGCATTTTTCCTTTCTCATTTTCTGGCCCCAAATCATTCCCGATGCAAATTCTAAATTACACTGAGGTTCAGTTTTGCTCATTATTACTTATAATAGAGTTTATGTTGGCAAACTGAGTACATTTCTTTTCCCTAGAACTTAAGCTTAGTATCTCAGTGCACTACCATAATCAATGCTCTATTTCTAATGTGCTCCCTCCTGCTCTTTGAGCAGCATTCCCTGTGGGAACTATGGTTAGGAGAACTACCTTACCTTTTCCTCTGCAGACTGTCCTGATTCCTCTCCTATAAATAAGTTCCTAGGCTGCATTTCCAAAAGAGTTTTGAAGAGGTTATCCGATGTCACTGTCAAGAATTCTCTCTCTGCATTAGGATGGAGTCCATAGAGAATCGGGCTCTCAGGTGGAAGTATTTCATCAATGTACTTGTGGTATCCAGTGTAATCCAGATTAGGTGGGGCTAGGAAGCCTGGCGCCAGTGCCAGTTCTCCTTCCAGCTTTAAGAAGAGAATGAACAATATTATGGTCAATTCTTCAAATTATTTATTTTTTTTGGCATCTTCAGTGTTTCAGGAATTCAGTTACTTTGAGTTGGTTAAAGTGACAACAGTATATTTGGACAAAATGAATTATGCTGACTCCAGCATTTTTAGCACTATTATTGTTATCAGTTCACCACCTGCCCATTGAATGGCAGGTTTTTGGTTTTATTCCTTGCTTTTATGGCATCTTTTCTCTTAGCTCCAAGTGTTGGAGAGGTAGAAGGGAGAGGATGATTATATTTCCTCTTTTTTCTACTCTCCCTTTGCAGGGTTAGTTAGAACCCTGCAAAGGGAGAGTCATTTTGTATTGCACCCTGAAGGTGGCCCAGCTTGGCCTCAAGTGGATAATACAACAATGATACATTTTTGAGCTTGGAAAGTCCTTTTGCTTCTTATTGCTGAGGAGGGCTGAACCTAGTCTGCACCAGCTGCAACATGCTGGTAGAATCCAGCTGCCACAAAAACTTGCAGAGGGGAAGTCACTGAGGTAAGCAGGTTTGAGCCCCTTTAAGGCTTTAAAGTTAAGAATCAGGATGCTGAAATAGAGCTTGACTTGAATAAGTAGCCTGCATGCAGCTCAATGTGTTGAGGAGATGCGTTCTTTGGGCTCAGCCTTATCTGTCAGTGACAGAACAGGGTAAAAAAAGCAATAATACATGTGTACAAATGCATTAGCTTTGAACTCTCCTCCCACTATTGAGCTGTAAGGACTTTATTGGATTCAAAGAATTCTTTCAATTCAGTGACATGAGACAAAATGAGACTCATTCCAGTCTTGAGTGTCTTTGCTGAAAGATTTTCTTCTGGCTACAAGTGGCTCTTTTCACAACAGCCACTTATTTCTAATGCTGGTTCTTTTCCATGGAGCCACAACAAACTTCAAAGGCTTCTGGTATTTAGCAAAGTCAAGAAGAACAAGCTGCTTCTGACGCTGCTACCAAGAGGCACTTCTGAGAAGTCATTCCAGTCTCAGAGCTAGCCATTTACAGTAGAGTCAAACTACAAACCTCATCTACAATAATCAGTCTCCGTGTATCACTTTAAAGTACTCCCAAAGTTCCCAGTAATTTGCCATGCAACCTTCAGTTGAAGGTTATTTTCTATTATTCAATCTGTATTTACTGGGCTCTTTGATGGGCGCTTAAAAGAGCTCCCCTTGTACTGCTATAGATTTGTATACATAACAGGACACTGCAGGCTATGGCATACATTGGGAACCCACTACGACTTTGGCCACATGTCAAACACTGCATATGAAGTATGTCAAGAGGTAAGTGCAAAACTCACCTTGTATTTTATGGATTAAACACAAATAAACTCATCAGGCACTATTACTTTGTCACATGAACACCAAAGCCAAGCACACTGATGGAGTGCGTGTGTAGCCATTCCTGTCTGTGTTCAGTTGGCTGCCAATTGATGAATGATTTTTTTGCCATATCTGGTAATATAGGGAAGTGTCATTGGCCAATTACAGCCAAAGCTCGAAAACATTATTATCCTCTCATGCAACACTGCGGCAGATCTACATTCAGGGTTGGGTCCCTAAACTTTCCAAAGGGCGTCCAAACAACAGCAATTCTCCTCAGGTTCCACCACCTATATTTATTTTACAGTTATTTGAATGAAAGTTCAGGTTTATGAAGGTTAATGGACTGCCTAAACTGGAAACAGTAATTCTTTACTTATCCACAGGCTAGACAGAGCAGGAAACAGCCGAATGAGCTTTCCACGCTGCCCTCATGACCTTAGCTGTCATTTGGAGAAATCAGCCTCTGCTGAGGTCAGAAGTACAGTAGTGTTTATCCTTCCCATCTCCATGGTAACCTACTCTTGGGCCTCCTCGAGCAGTGACTTCCGATTGTGTTAAACAGAGTATGGCTTTTTGACATATGAAAACCTCATTAGGGACTGAGGAGATGCAAGGAAACTCATTTTACTTAGAACCTGAAGACAGACTCCAACTACATTGCCATGGGTGAAAAGTGCATTCCCCCAAGTTATCCAAGCTCCAGAACTGGTCTGCTCAAACATTATGTGCTCATTTTTTCCCTCCAAATAAGCTTTTATCTCGGACAATTAAAAATAATACGTTTAGGCAGGACATAGTAAAAATCTGTTCCTACTATTTTCTGTAAATTTTATATGGTCACTTCTCTAAATTGATTAATTAACAAGCTTAAGAGAATTAGGCAAAGATTTCTTTTTTAAGAATTAAGTAATGCCAACACAGCTGCTAGGATTCCTAAAAAGATAATTAGGCAAATCCAATTATTATTCATATTTAATTTCTATTGCATACAATACTAAAATGATTAACTCTGCTCATAATTCAGAAGGCATCCAAGAAATACTGCAATTTAACGGAAGCGTTATGCTCCTCACAATGCCGTCCAACTCCATAATTATGATTAAACCTACATCTTCTTATATCTTCTGCTGGCAGTTTGCTACAGAGATACAAGTTCAGTAGGACTATCTAAGGGGGAGAGATGGTCTATTATTGCTTCCCATATCTAGAGAACACAGGAAAAGGAGTACAAGGCATCACGCCCTAATGCTTTTCTTCAACCTGAAAATAAACTATACAAACAGTAAGTCTAGATTTTGGGGTGTCGGGGGTTTGTGTTGCTCTGTGGTGTAACAACTGATGTAATATTTTCGTTATATCAGCTGAAAAGTACTTTAGAAACAAGTTTTTCTACCTCATCCAATATTTTCAAAATACCAGAAAATCATAAAAGAATGATTTAATAGAAAAACCATTACCCAACCACACTGTCCAGCATGCAGTTCAGCTGGTGGTTCTTCATTATGTAGAGTTTTTATAAAACATGGAAGACATGCCGCCACAGGAACAGATGTTTGTAAGCAATATGCTAAGTCACAAAAGCCTTGCAGAATAGGTCCTTTTGGGAGGGATGAATTGCACTCATTACAAACTGGGTCATTTATTCCCAGACACCTTTATGAGATTTTTGTAGGGGAAGGACAGAACTGGGGGTCACCTCAGAAGATACTCTTGCTCAGTGATTAAGGTTTTTTTTTTTAGTGATCTGGTATACTAAATTTAATGTATTAAAGCAAGATACAAGACATTGTAATATTTAATTCTTAGTGCTTTTTATGTATATCAGAGAAATACTACCATAGCAGGACTCATGAATTCTTCTAAATATGCCCGACATAGCTTGCGGTCCCAGTCATCAGTTATATGGCCACCATACATAATTTCACCAAAGAGATAGCGCAAATCTTCCCATGGAACCTACCAAAGATAATGGAATATATAATTCAATAAATAACAAGTTAGGTGTCCAATGGACAAACCAAAGTCACTCACAATAATACTAGCATGAACAATGTTTCATCAGAACAAAAAAAAAAATCAAAATACTTTTAGAATTTTCAAAATACTTTGAAAATTAGATGCACCTAGTGTGCTTGGGATTTTGTTGTTGTTTATAAAATATCTACATTGTGATTATTTTTTTCCATGCCAATTTTTGATATCTATAAATATCTGGTTAAAATATCTAGGCTTTAACTAAAATTTACTTACTGTGCAAACAAATATCAATTAAGCTGCAAGTCATAGTTTTCATCCTATCCCTTATAAGAGCTTTTAAGGAGCAATGCAGGATTTCAAAACACGGTGTGATATAAAAGAACATAACTCATTAACAAATGCATGCGTTTACTCAGACCTTTGGAAAAAAAATCCTCATGAGTGACAGAAAGGTAACCTACTGTGTCTTTCTCACAGGGGAAATAAAACCTTGTATCTGATTGCAGTCTTATATATATCCTCTCTAGGAAATACCAAGAAAGAAATTCTACATTACTTGAATTTGGGATGAATTCAAGAAAAAACAGAAATTATATTTGTCCCATCACTACCAAATCATTTAACTGTTATGTGTTTTGTAGGACTATAGTGCTAGTGCCATTCCTTGAATTTTTCATTCAAGAAACCATTGTCTCTTGACAATGGTTTCTCATATACCTTATTTGACTTAGCAAGATTTGAAGCTTCTTTTTGCTACCTTTGGTTTGCAAAATATGCCAGTTTCTGATGAAGACTTTCCAGACAGGAACATTTTACACCCTCTGGGGCAGTATTTGTCTCCCAACAGTTCAAGTAAAAACTTAATTATAGGTTATGTACGTTGCATGATGTGACAGAACAGAACAAGTAAAACTATTCCAGCATGCTTGCTACAAGTTTATTTGAATTTGAATAAATGAACTTCTAATGCACCTTTCTTTTAAACTGGTTTGAACTGAATTAAAAAAAAGTCACAGAATTGAATAAGCTATGCTACATAATGACTCGGGGAAAGCTGAACAGTGTAACTCAGACAAATATTAACTTCTGGTTTGGAATAAAAACATTCTTGCATTTTAGAAGTGTTTTTTGGACTCAATGAGTATACTGTGTCAATCAATTTAGCGTTTTTTTCTCAGTCAAATATATATTAATGTCAAGACACCAGTGTTTGCTGGAAAGAAAACTGCTCTCTCTCATGTTAAATACCCTTGTTCAAAGTGTTTCTAGACTTTTTAGCTATAGAAGCATATAACAATTCTCTGACTCTGTGTGACACTCGATTAGACACATGCAACAATAATTAAGTTTGGAGAACGTAAGCTTCTGATAAAAGAAAAAAATAGGGTAATATAAGAAACACGAGGAATTGTTTTGGACAAAAGAGATTTCTTGGATATCAGGTTTGCATAACAAATATTGTACCCTATAAGATATTTAACTGATGTGCTCATGAAATGAAATTTAGTTTGCCTACAAAATGTCTGCACAGGGTACACTCACAACTCCTGCATGCGGCAAGCAGGATCTTGAAAGTGCTGGTGTGACCCAGTCCCATGTGGTGGGAAGGGGAACAAGTGGCCTGAGTTCCCTAAACAGTAAGTGTGAAAGGCGTGATATCATGCTTCCATAAATTTTAACAATGACCCAGAGTGGGTGGAAGCACAGGTGCCTTGTACCTGATATTCTTGGTTGGTGTCACTTCTCCAGCGGCTTTGCATTCCACCTGCAGAGAACTCAAAATGCTTGGGCCTTGTGGCATTAGTTTGACCATGCGGAAATGAATTCGGCCAAATCAGTTAGGAACTACAAAAAAAGTTAAGTTTTCCTGACAAAGCTGGTAAAAATTAGCATCTATTGCTAGTATTATTGACCTCTACAGAGGCACACTAATTTACCTCACTAGAAGGTCTCTTCCCATATTTCAGAAGTTCTGAGTTGGTCAGGCAAGTAGAATTTAGCTCTGTATCATATTTTGAAGGTCTTAATATCTTTTTTCCTGCTTGCATTACCTACATTTTAAAATTACTATAAAGCTGCAATGCAACCTGCTTACCACTAAAGTGCAAAAGGACAATATTGTTGAAAGAAAGGTGAACTAATCGTCTCTCCTATTGACCCTCTATTTCCTACTCCCTACCAGAACTATTATAAATAATTATTATGCGCATGAGCGGTGGTTTGAGAACACAGCCTAGCGAAAGGAAAGAAGGAAATTTACTGGTAAAGAAAAATAAAAGGTTGGAATAAGCTTATTTTATAGAGTCATTTTCTAAATGAAAACCATTATTAAATCATCACTACAAAATTAAGCAATTATTTAAACGTGACACCAAATACCATATGAAGGAAATTCAGCTTCATGTCCTATTAACAAAAGTTGTCAGTGAAAATAAAAAGGAAAACAAGAATTACTCTAGGGTAATGACTACCAATTGGACACACAGGTAAAACCATATCATAAACAGCAATATTACAGGTTTTCTTAAAGCATATGCTGTTCTCTCACATTTCTTTAAGTTATTTGAAGCAGCTGGTGTCAGAGGAGCTGCTTACTATCCACCCCATTAAGTGCCGAACAATCATTGCTATTATTTAGGCATTGCATTTACAGAACTTACAAAAACGACCTCAACTAAGTATTTAAACCACACAACTGTAAAATATGCTGTAGTTCAGAAATAAAATCACTCATCTACCCTTAACTTTGACTCCAGGGGAACATTACTGAGAAAGTCACAACAAGGTGGCATCCTTAATACATAATAATGACACATGCAGGAAATGCACCATTATTTATACATGTGACGTGCTGTAAATTGCTTCCATCATCAGAACTAATTGTAGTGATTATTAATGCAGTGTTATGAACTGTCAGAATTGCTGTATGTAATTACATTTGTGCAAATGCTTCATTACCTGCCTAATGAATTTGGCATATATGCACATGTAAACCACTGTTTTTGTTAACATAATGAAGGACATTTTTTTTGGTTAAGCTGCTGATGTGGAACTGCTTTGACCTATGCTACAAAGTTCATCCATCCAGTGTTAAAAAACCTTTGATCTGGTTTATTTTCAAACTCAGCAATAGAATTATATAATATCAGCTATTTTAATAATAGCTGCAAAAAATTATGCCCTAATTTTTCAACATAGGAAAATGAGAGATTTATAACCTTGGAAAGAAGTTATTTGACCAGCAACTCTTACTTTAGTATGTGCCTCTAAGTAGTTGTAGAGGACATTGACACAAATGGTCAGATCTCCAGTGTTGAAAGGGTATCTTCGATTCCAACCTTGTGGACCAAATTTGAGTCTCCCAGCAACGCATGTATGAAAGTAGCAGAGAGAAAAGAGAATGCTTTTAAACTCCTGCTCCCTGGTGCACAGTTCAAGTGTATCCTGCCAAAAAACAAAGACAATGTATTTATCTGGGTATCAGCATGCTCATTAATCTACTGCTGTAGTTACTTTACTTGATCTAATAGGATGGTTTCCACACTTGAATTCAAGGCAGATAAGTGTTCGGTTATTATTTATTCCTTATTTGGTTAGTAAGTTAGTATTTCTCAATGTATTTTCTTTTTGTTAAAATATGAAACAGAATTGTTGGCACTATAAGTTATTTTTACATACAAAAACAGACATCACGGGCTTGTTTACAAGATACTATGTCACTGTAGCGATAAGCTATGGCAATATAGCTCATTGCTATGGTGACATAGTATCAGTAGCCACTAACTGTTGAATACTGTTCCCACCCACCCACAGCCCCATAGGGAGTTTTGCTGAGTTGTTGTCAGGGGCGGGGGGTGCTGACCCAGCCTGCAACAGCTGATCAAATCTCCCTACATGGTCCTTGGACCCAAATAATTGCCCACCCTGATCCATTCAATCAACTGTCAAAGGGCAAGGTCAAATCTTCATAGGCCTTTCCTTGGAGAGAAGATGGGGAAACCAATAGACTAATACATGGGTTTTATTGGTTTGTGTTTTGTTTAGCAATGAAGAGATGTTCCCTGATTCCATTTTCCAAAATTTCAAAATACAGACAAAGCTGCTGGCTTGCAAAATGGAGTCTCATTTTATGAACAAGCATTCCTACTTAAAATAAAGCTGTCTGCACAAAACGGCCTCTAGGACTTGGATTCATAATTAATAGTAGCATAACTCAAGGGGAGGAAATGGGGCATCAGACCTGGGTGCCACACTTAAAAATGTGTAGAGATTAGCAGGGATCTGTGTTGTCTGTTCACCATGGAAAAATGTGGTAAAACCTGGATTTCCTAATTTTAAGGCGAAAAACTCAGATTTTCTCCTTTAAAGGAGAAAAGCATGGGAAATGATGGGTTTCCCCTTGCAGGCTGGCAGAGTTCCAGCCCGCAAGCGGCTGGGGGGAGTGGGAGGAGGGTGGTCGGCAGGAGTCACCATGTGCTTGTGCACATGTACCCATGGACATGACTGCTCGGCAAGCTGGAGAGCAGCTCCCAGCAGGTAAGTCTGGTGGCAAGGGTGGGGGGAGAAATGAGGCCCCCATAATGAAGGAGAGAGTTGGGCAGGGCTGGGGCTGCTGCCCAGCCTGGGCACTGCATGGGGCCTGAGGCTGGAATACCCAACCACAGGGCCTGGGTGCAGGACGGGATCATGGGTGGCTCATATCGGGGGTTGGGGCTGACTCTCTGCCACTGTGTGCACTCTCAGGGGGACATGGAGGCATATATCCCCCAGATTTTTGCATGGGACAGGGGCGGGTACAGGCTGCCCACTGAGGGCTTGGGCTTCCCATCCTGCTGCCTTTCCCCTGGGGCCTCCACAACCCAGTGGGCAAGACCAGGTGCATCAGGGAAGAGTGAGTCAAGGAAGCTTGGTGCCACTGCTGTGAGCCCCATGTCACCATGGCAAAGTGCCCCCTACCCACCCAGCAGCAGTGACATGGAGTTGTGCCCCTTGCTGCTGCCAGGCAGGCAGGGGGTGCCTTGCCAGGGCAGCATGGGGCTCCCAGCAACAGCAACAAACTTCCTTGCCCAGGCCTGCTTTCTGTGCCATGCCAGGTCCCACCTGCTGGACTGTGGAGGCCCTGGGGGAGGGCAGCAGGGCAGGGAGCCCTGAGCCCACAGCAGGCAGCTCGCATCCAGTCCCCTGATGGGCTCCACTCCAGCCACACCACCTTGGTGGGAGGGGGAGCTGGGTTCTGCAGGGAGCTGACCCAGGTCCCTGGCTCCGTAGCTCTGGCAGCTGGCATCAGCAGGGTCAGGAGGGCTGTGGGTCAGTAGTGAGGGGCAATGGCATAGGCAGGGCACCAACATATTAGGGCTGCTCAGTGCTGCAAAGCAGTGTTGGGTGGGGGAAGGGTGGGACACAGCCACAGCTGGACCTAGTGAGCAAAGAGAGCAGGGAGAGAGCTCGGATTTTCCATGATAAAGCCAAAATCAAATGCCAAAATTTATAGGTCTTTAGAATTTATTTTATTATAGCGTCTGAGGCACTGGTAGGCTTCCAAATTGCTTTAAAACTGTAATTATATCGATATATATATATATATAGTGGAGTTTCATTTTAATCATGGAAAAACACAGATTTGGGAGGTTTTAATCAGAGAATTTGTGTGGTTTTTTTCCTTCTCCCCACCCCCCTTTAAATCAGAGAATTTGTGATTTTTAAACAGAGAAAACGAGGATCTCTGGAGATTAGTCTTCACCTTTAGTGCCTTGTTACACTTTCATTTGCAACAGTTGCAAACTGTTGGATTTTTTGTGAGGTATCAAAGCTAGTGCTTGATGTATGAATGCTACTACTTGGTATCACAAGTTCACTTGCAACAGTTGCAAATCGTGGGAATATAGTGAGTTAGTACATGTTAGGAGATAACCCCGAACTGAAAGGGAACAACTCTGCAATGCCAGGAGGTCAGTTAACACATGATAAACTGCTTGAACTTGTATCTGCTTGTGTTTTTAACTGCACATAGTAAGGATTTATTTGATGTTCGACACCGCCCTTAGTTTAGGAACTTTGAGTTTCTATAACCTGGTTCAATTAAGACAAATTTACTGAAGAACCCTTCACTATAACGCAAGCTGCTCATCCAGTAAGAAAGGGCAGGGACAGGTATTCATTTAAAATGCAAAGCATTTCTGGAGAATCTGCAGCACCACAAAATCATAGCATGAAATGCAGGTGCAGCTGTTCAAATGCCTGGTTGTCTGGAGTGCCAAAGAGCACAACAAAAACAGGTACTGCCAAGTATTCTATAGCCAGGGGCCAGTGTGCAATGATCCCAGCATGTTTTGCAGTAGTCCCTTGCCTCTGGAGCTTCCTGAAGACAGTAGAGCACAGAGGAGAGCGGCAATTGGCTGTCCTCCCAGAAATCACACCCAGAAACAGACCCCCTGCTTGCTTCCCTTATATAGGGAATGCACAGCCATAGTGCACATATTCCACTGCCAACATCTTACCTTACTTTCAGCCCACATTAGATCCCTGCTGCCCGTACTTCCAATCCAGTGGTACCAGCAAGTCCAGTGTATGCCATACTTCAGCTGGTGTAAAGTCTAAGGCCTAATACTGCTGCTTCAGAGAACTCCTACATAGGCTGGCATGCAGCACCATGTATGACCATGCAAACACAACTCAGGCCCTGGCCATGAGGTCTCTGGTTCTCCAACTAGCTCAACATAGGCAAGTCCATGGGGGGGACCCTGGGTGCCCCCCCCCAGACCTAGGAGGCACCAGCTGCCAAGCCAGTGGGGCATGGGGGGGGGGGGGTGGGGGGGGGGGGGGGGGGGGGGGCAGCGCATTCCCTGGCGGACCTGGACATGGACTGGAAGTGCTTATGGTCTACTTCTGGGTCTGCCGCTGAGCACGCCGGGGACCCCCTGCACTCCTGTGGGATGCTACATCTGCCCCACAATCACAGCGTTCACAAGCCCCTGCTACCTAGGGGTATGTAGAAAAAACATTTAAAGCTGCGTCTATGTCCAAATTTCCTAATCTTTCCGAATCTCTCTGAAGCAATTCGTGCCGGGGGGCGTGTTTCCAATTCGATTCGGAGAAATTAAAGGGTCTCCTGATTTGATTTGGATTTGGAGATTCAGCCAACAAATCGGGCCAAATCTCTGCCAAAATCAATCAGGGACCAAAGCGTCGCACAGCTCTAATACACAGGCCAATCTGGACAACATGACTGTGTGCGTCTAAAGGCAGATTCAGGCTACAAAGCTGATCTATATTACTCAAGTTGTCAACAGCCTGCAGGGGCTGTTTTGGGACAGCCCATTTTGTAGCATTGTGGCTAGAAACTCTCCAAATCCTGGGGACTCTCCTACGTGGGCAGAATCTTTAAGTGGTGCTGTTTGTTCCACACGTAATACCACTGCCAGAGTAACAAAACATTACAGAAATAATTCACTTTTTAAAAACAAACCTTGGTCTCCAGACAGTGACACCCATAAATCTTTTTTCACAAAATAAAGCCCTTCCTGACTCTTTTCCCGGTCACAACACTACCCAAAGAAGCCTCAATAATTTAATAAATCCATCCTAGGAAAAAGTCTGGAAAAATGGCTTGGTGTATTCTGAAGCGCGCTAAAACTGAGCATGAACTTTGTTTGGAAGTAAAGGAAGGGCTAACAAACAGCACTCCCAACTTAGCAGGTGAGAGGAACAGCATTAGATACTTAACCAGGACAGTAACACTTTTCTGATACTGAGGTTGTTGATGCAGCTAACACATGTGACATATTGATCTCTGACAGACAAAGGTGGAGCATCCTGTTGGTCATTCCTGCACTGTTGCTCTACTAGACACGGGGAAATGTAAAAAACTTTGTGTTTGAAACATGTGCTCCATGGTGATGGGAAACGGATTCACTGAGAGGAGATAGGACAGGGTTTGCATTTTGTGAATTTTGTTTTAGTGTAGCAATTCCTGGATTCCACGACCAGTGTTCAACAGCACCAATTATTGCAGAATGGTGTAGTAATTAAAAAAAAACGTTTATACCTGGTCAAAATTGTAGAGAGCAGCATGCAAATTAGCCAGCATCCCAGTAGGAGGTTCATTAGTAATTTTAATTGAGTTTTCTAGTATTCCTTGAGGGATGATGTGCTCTTCTGGGGTTGGAGCTGGTTCAGCACTAATGAAGATCCGGTAATCAGAATGACTTCCTTTGCTGTAATGTTCGAGGAGTTTCTCCAAAGTCCCCAGCCAACTGGCTACTAGGTGAATGTTCTATTGGAAAACAGCCAAAAATTTCAGGGGAGACAAAAATGTTTCTTATTTTGGAACTAAAGTAACCACATACATTAAAAATACCTTAAGCAAAACAGTACCATAGTGGTTTCACAACAAAATATAGACCCTTATTTAAGTCCATATAGCATGTCTTCTTTAAATGAGCCAAGAGAGCAGAAAAGATGTTAAGAGTGCTAGGCAGAGGATATTTCTTGAAACCTGTTATTTTCCTTTAGCTTCTGCAGATTTCAGGTCTAGATTTAGCAAAGCACAAGTGCATGCACTTAGAATTAAACATAAGAGTAATTCTATCCCTATTCCACAAAGCACTTAACCCTGTGCTTAAGTGTTTTGTGGAGTTTGGGCCTTTGAGGCAATATATTTCCAGCCCACGCTGAGGTCAAAGCTGAGAGACACGAAACAAAGGAACCAGTATCAAGTTATAATTGCAGAGATAGATAGGTCATAGTATTTGAGGATGTGATAATTCTGTAAAACTATGAACACATTGTAAATATTTAGGCAGGTTATCCACTAAAATTCATTTTAACAACAAAGAATCTCTTTGCCAAAGCTTCTACAACAGTGCAGAGTCTGAAAGAAGAACTAATACTAGTTTAATAACTACAATTAAAGCAATATCTTGATGCATCGTATGCATTATTTTCCCTAAACATTTCCAGGCACTCTTTATTCTGCCATCCACTAGTTACCATGCAAAAAAGGTTCTGCTATCAGAAACCTAAATGTGACTTTATGAGTCTACCTCTCTCCCACACTCATTCTCTCTCTTTTCCCACTCTGACCAATGAGTTGCAAGCAACATTCTTTGGATTTTCCTCTGCTCCCACTTACTCTACTTTTACTTATTCCTTCTTCCATTGAAGCCCATAGCAATGACTTCAAATATACAAGCCTTAGGGCAAGATTCTATTTCACCTATTATTAGGTGTGTAAAAGGTTTTAGGTGCCTTAGTACAGTTCTATTCCACCTTAAGTCCCTGAAAAACAGTAATTACAAAAGTGGGTAGGTCTTCCTCACCTTAGCTGTTTTTTGGGACTCAGTTTTAAGAGCAAGATGATGGTGTTACAAATGTAGATGTGTTAGTAGACTTTCAGGTCTTGATCGGGGTAGAATAGATTTACACTTAGGCACCTAATCCACATATAGACACCTAACACAGTGGAATAGAATCTGGCCTCTTATGACTAAAGGTTTTTCAATTGCTGCACTTTATAATCAAGACAAGAGGTGGTAGACAAAAAACTAAGAACATCAGTGGGTTTGCTTAATATTTACTTTGTATATACAAAAAGAAGTCAGTACATGGCTATAAAATGCCATTGCTCCTATTTGACCTTTCAGTGTCTTTACTTTTCATGTACTTACTTTAACCTTAAAAATATTTTGGCTTGCAGAATTTTGGAGTAAAAAGGCAAAAGATGAAATCCCAAGAATTTAGATGAAATTCCAAGCACCTGCACTTATATTATTCGTATTAGTGAATGCAGAATTACTCAGGTTTAGTCCAAAAATCTTAGAAGACTCTAAATTAGGGTCTTCTCCAGCTTCCCCGGAACTACAGTTTTCAATTAATTAAAAATAATACCCTGCATACACCATGACAAAAATCATTAGACACTGGGTGGGAAGCTGCACATCACCAACAGCCTCTGAGCACTGGCTTTTTGTCATTGGTTTTTCCAGAAACGTAATACCATGCTGTATTTAGGCTCCTAAAATAACCTCTGAAGGAAATGAAGAACTTCAAATTGCGCCTCTTTTCATCTCTGTTTTTCTTCATACAACAGCATTTCTATGCTTAATAACAACTGTATCAATGTTAAATGAAAGACACACTTATTGGTAGATAAACTTGATGAGTAAAGCTGGTTATAAAATGATAAAAATAACCATTAACTGAAATATCAATTAAAAAAAGCATTCACACTGTGTTTGTACAGTGCCATAAACAATTGGACTTTTAGCCAGTACTGTTATTTATTTTATTATGAGTACATAGAGATACTAGCATATATATTTCCTTTAAGCCTACAGGAAACAGCAATGCTGGTGGAATAAAAATAAAACTGGATGGTATAATAATACCTTTTGCATTTACAATTCATTGGCAAGGTCCAGGACATACATTTCTTGCAGAGTTTTAGTGTAATATGACCCTTACAAATATTAGTATAAACTACAAATACAATATAAAACTGCTGGTTACAGCACCTCCCAGTCCTCCTGTCAAATTCTATGGTTGTACCAAGGATGACAGTTCATGTAGGCCATGTAAAGAGCTCTTTGTTTGTTGCCGAGTGGATCTTCACTGCATACAATGCTGGCCAAACCTGCTACTGCTATCTCCGAAGAACAGCACTCCAGTGCTAATTATACAGCTTCCCAAGGGCTAGTCATTCTAATTTTATTAAAGCCTCCATTATGACCCAGTCAATGGAACAGGAGTTCTTAATTACACAGAAGCGTATTCCTGAGGACATAATCCTGTCTAGTCACACAAGTTTTCTTATATTATTTCTCCTGTCCCCAGTGGGAATAGGATGGCAGTTCTACAGAACGTAATACACTCAGCATACCTGAATGTTTGTTTTGCTACAATTAAGCGCAAACAGAGAAAATTAACACTTTGCTTTTTAAGCCTCATTTGAAAGGCAGATAAGTTGTTTTTTGCTGGACCATCCTTACTTTGCAGTCATTTCACTTTCAAAACATACTCCTAGCCAAGTGCAAATTGGCTCTGTTTAATACTTACTTGGAGAATGACCCAATGCCCATGTGCAGCAGCTTTCTCTAGTGCCCCCTCAGCAACCATCTCTTGACCTTGTCCAAGTGAGATATTATGGAATTTTCCAGAGTCGATAGTAAACCCAAGTTTTTTGCCTGTAAAAGGAGCAATGGGGGTAGGGAAATGAACAGAGCATAAAAGGGAAAAAAAAATGATAATGCCTCATTAATTTTACTATCACTGGCGCAATATATATTAGTTCTTCTGAAGCACTTCACTAAACCCTTACAATTTCAACAAGCAAAATTGCGAGCTCTCAACAGTGGCCTTATTGCTGGTATTAGAAAAAGCCTGCAGAAATCTGTTCCCTTGGTTTTAAGATAATGAACCTTTTGACATTTTGATAGATGCTAGGCATTGTTACTGAGCTTTAGAAACTCTTACAGGGGGTGCAAAGCAATTCCCTTATAAAAAAGGAGCAACATGTGGTAGATATCACATCAGTTTTTTAACTGATTGGTTCAGTGGGTAAATGCACAAGCCTCTCACCTTGTGAGGCCTGAGTTTAAATTGAGCACAGTCAGGTCACAGCTGTATTAACCTGGTATTCTCAGTATAGTCTGTGGGGAATAGTAATCCTAAGTATAAAGCGACAGTGCCTTACACAATTGAATATAGTTTGTATAATGACCATTATTTAGTCACAGGGGGCACAAGATTACATGAGCATGGAGAAAATTGCCCTCTGGCCCTCATCTAGTCAAAAGGTAGAAAACAGCACAAAAGAAACTTGCATTATGCCAAGCAGAGGAATGTTCAGCCTCAGAATTTCTTCATACTGTAGTGCTTATAGCTTTGCACTTTTCATCCACCTAATTTACCACAAATAAGTGGTGGGGGGTAGAGAAACTTCAGAACTTAACTCTCTCAGTGAAGATAAATCCAGCCCAACTTTGCCATGGTAATTTCTATTTCTTTATAGGGAAAAATTTTATTGTTCTTGTTTGCTTATGATTTTTAAAAAATTTAGGACCTAATCCTTTGACTTCAGCAGGGGCAGGATTGACTGCCTCTGATGCAAACAAAGCTCCCAAGGAAATGAGACTCACCAAGTGTCTCCAGATCTTTAAGTGGGTCTACTCCCGGAGAGAGAATAAAAAAGACGGGCATGTCTGGACTGCTCTCTTCACATGATTTTGCCAAGTCTATCCTTGTGCCCTCCACATATTTTGAACCTAGTTTTTCCTCCACAAAGTTCCTGTATAAATATAAAGCATAAATTGAGCACATAATGAACTTCCATTGTTACAGACTTTGGGCCATGGCTATTCTCAAAGCAGGCACTGCTAGTACTGAACTATCAGCAGTTTTATTAAAGAAAGGTGCTGGGGAAAAATACTAATGGAAAAAAGGGCAGCATAAAGGTGAAGAGGGTAGAGAACAATTTGCCATGCTTCTTTTCATGAAAGGGGACAGTGAGTAACAAATAAACAGAGGAAAACAGGAACTGTAGGGGGGAGGGGAGGGAGCAGGGAGGGAGCAGGGAGGGAGGTCTCCTGCATCCAGTCCCCTGCTATTCAAAAAAACTATACCATACAATCCCAAGTCAACCCCAAAATAAATGTATCAAGAAAGGACAGCTGGGCAGAGAAAGTACCAGGTAAGGAAACATACTAGCCTAATAAGTTATATAGAATCATAGAAACAGAACCAGAAAGGACCTGTAACATCATCAAGCCCAGTCCCCTGCCAGGCAGGAAGTTATTGGGCTCACATGAGCTCAACAAGGTGCTTGTCCAGTCTCATCTTGAACATCTCCAAGAAGGGTGGCTGCACCACCTCTGCTGGGAGTGTGTTCCAGATTGTGGAGATCATTACAGAGAAGTTTTTCCTTTTATCTAACCAGAATTTACTCTCTATTAGTTTATGTCCATTCATTGGACCTCATCTTCCCTTGAGGTGCCCTCTTGAATAGTTGCTCTCCTAGTTCTTGATGCTCCCCCGATGTACTTGTAGGCAGCTATCATTACCTCTCAGCCTTCTCTTCTTCAGGCTTAACAGGCCGAGTTCCTAGACTCTCTCCTCGTAGGGCCTAATCTCCATGCCCTTAACCAGACAGGTGGCCCTTCTTTATACCCTCCCAAGCTTATCCACATCCTTCTTGAAGTGCGGTGCCCAGAATTGGGCACAGTACTCCAGCTGAGGCTTCACCAATGCCGAATAGAGAGGGAAGAGTATCTCCCTGGATCTATTGGCCACACAGTGGCTGATGCATGCCAGAGTTTTATATGCATGAGTAAGATACCTGGGTATTATTATTTAAGTGAAGAATTTAAAAAACAACCTTAAGAGGGTTGGGTTTGAGGGTTTTTGTTTGTTTCGGTTTTTTGTTTTATTTGCTCATTATTTGCTTATTTATTTCTGAAACGTATAGTTATTTAAAGATGTCAGACCGAGAAAATTACCAGCTAACTGCTATGTCTAGTAAAACAATGAGAAAAACTATGGCAAGAGAAATATATCTGATTTACAAATGAACTTTTTCACATAGCAAGGTGAATGTGTATATAAACCATAAACAAACAGGTCAAATCCCTGTAAATAGGTCAAAATTCAAACGTGCCAATCTCATCCTACCATCTTCTCAAGCTCCTGACAAAGAAAAGAAAGGCGTTGTACGAAGCCCAAGGGCCAATAATCAAAATCTCAAGCCTGGCCGACCAGTTTGCTTGATATGTTGGATCCCCATCGTTTAAAATTTGATCTTTCTCCATTGTGTGCTATATGCCTGAGCTGGCTTCATGCAGATTTCATTGCCACAACAAAGATCCTACCTCAGGGCATACGTCATTCTGTCTGGGCGGAGTGCCCTCAGTATGATAAGTTTCTGAAGAGAGTTCTTGCTTTTCCACTCCTGAGGAAGCTTCTCCTTTTCTGGGCATTCTGAATCCACCCATTTCTTCCACCGCTTGGCAGACCCTTCAATATCATGATCTAGTCCTTGGAACTCCTCCATTAGAGCAATGGCCTGGGATGAACACGCACACACACACACACACACACACACACACACACACACACACACACGATTTTTAAGATAAGAGAGAAATACATTGCCACTATTAGAATAATACCAATACATTTTGTCACATTATTAACCATACTTGACCTATTTTAAAGTATAATTTGCACCTATTGCCCTTTTTGAAGAACTTTATTTGTTAAACAGAACTCCATTCAAATTCTCCACCCGATCTGTTTAGAGTTAAACATCAAATTATGATGCATGCAACATGTAACACTAGGTTTTAGAGTGAGGGATAAGTGCAAATATCAAAATTATATTCACAAAAGAATGCACAGATGACCAGGGTTTCCACATGAAGGGATGATCCTGCTATGAGCAGGGGGCTGGGCAACATGACCTTTTGAGATCCCTCTGAGCCCTACTTTCCTATGTTCCTATGAAACACATGCATTATTTTATCATCTCAGGAACAATACATTTAAAATGCAAGGACAATTTATTCAAAAGTATTGCTAGTTCTATTCAAATTTATTATGGAATATATGACTCTCTGTGACATTACCTAGCTGTAGTATTATGGCTCCAGAAATAACATGAAATAAGCTTTCAAATTGAGAAGCAATTCTCCAAACCTACCCTAATGGCACTCCATGACTGAGTAGTTAAAAAGTCAACAGGACTCTTGTAAGTGTGTTCTACTGTGAATCGAAGCAGGAAATCCAATTCAAGGAGCTCTATCTCTTTACTTCTCAGCAGAATCTTGACAGCATACAAAATTGAAAAAGGTCATCAGGTTTACTTCACAGTCACTTCTCTTAAAGTATTCACCACTCCATAGAAATTATTGAATAGGCAGCACAAAGTACTTAGAATTCCTGTGACAATCTTCTGAAGCGCCAATAAAAGAATTTACCATTTCCCAATGATTTTAAAATAAAGAGGAAAAATATAAATCAATTAATAGAGTGAGATCAATTTTAAGCTGTTAGACGCTCAAAAAACCAGAGAGCAGCTTCTGAACTAATTCTGCAGAAGGTAGAATTGCTGTTGTGTTGCATGATAGTGATAGCAGAATCCTTGGAATATTTAACAAATAGCTAGATAACAACAGCAGCTACAGTTTATGATAATTTAGCTATAGTAAAAAAAGCAATTAACACCATAGTCCTTAAAGATCAGAGTTAATCATGCACAGCTGTGGTCCAGAATTCTTTCATACAGCACCACTGAAGTGAGAAAGGGAATCTGAATTACATACAACTCCCCCTTTTTATACCCCCTGCCTTAAACACACAGGCCGCATCCAAATGAGAAGGGGGATGCAGTTTGTGGCACAACATATCTCTTTGTGACACCACAAACTACACATGGTGAACATTAAAATATGTGCTGTGCTGCAAATTTGCATGCAGTGGCAAATTTGTACGCGGTGGTAAAAAAAAGCCGAGGAAAAGAAGTGGTGCGAAGCCTGCAAAAAAATGCATTGGCACAAACGGAGGCCTGGCCCTCCAGAGGAACGCACTGGCTGCCAGCTAGGCCTTTGTGCTGCCTCCAGCTCTCCCTGACTGAAAAGCTGGGAGGAGCTGGGCAAGGGCAGTTGCAGGGGTGTGCGCTACGCCCTGGCAGCAAGAGTACCCCCATGGATACCATGCCACAAGCTGCACAGAGCACCTGCATCGCTCTCTCCCTTTTCCCTCCTCCAGCACTCGGAACCCACATAATGCTCACTAGCCCAGGGTTTCCCAAATTTTTCCTTAGCTTGACTCCACATTTATGACCCCATTTCCTTAGCCCCTCATTCCCAACCCACAGCCCCCCACCCCTAAAACCTTATATGCTGATGTTGCGACCCACAGTTTGAGAACCACTGCACTAGCCTCCTTCCTAATAGTCTAGACAGGAGAAGAGTAAGTAGGGATTTAAAAACAGTCTTTAAATACTAACAGGCTGGCTACAAGAAGGATGGTGATCAATTGTTCCTGATGCCCACCACGGATAGGACAAGAAGTAATGGGCTTAAGTTCCAATGGATTGTTTTTGCACATTTCCAAATCCCTAACAGATTTTTATTCCCTCCTTTAAATACAAGATGCAATATAACCTCAAATAGCACCTTTCATAATCTTCATTTCTACACTCAGAGGCGTATTACAACATTTTAAATGCTTAAAGAAACAGTACCTCATGCACCATAGATGCTTAGATAACAACACTAGTAAATTGTACTGGAATTTTTATGTAAATATTTATTATAGGAGCATCAAAGGTGTGTAAAGTAGTAAATAAACATGGGATGGCTTGATGTATTGTCCTAAATCTGTCTTCTTCCAACAGAGAATACCTACAGCAGCACGACCATCACCACCTTTTGCATTATTTTTTTCTCACCTGAAAGGCTGTCTGGGCTAGAAATATGAGTTTGTCCTTTTCAAAAAGTCCCTGGCTGGTATACAAAAAGGTGGAATATGTAATAGCTTCTGTCAGGTTGGAGATGTGACCCTGGATATCCTCTGATGCATCAGCCTGTTCTAATGCTTTGTGGAAGACTGTGCTGAAGGCCTAAAAATTCGGGTTTAAAAAAAGAAAGACTAATAAAAAACCTTTAAAAGAGCAGCATACTTAGTAACCATTTTAAGAGGAAATGACTTGTCCTAAACACCAGACATTATGAAGAAAATCACCCTTCTCAGAAAAGTGGGCCTTTAAAGAAAATTTTACTAAGATTGGGGGAAGGGAGATGGCAAATGGCAATATTTTCCAGAAGACTCCTCAAGGCTTCCCCACCCATAAGACACTCTGAAAATAGTGCATTCTCTTAGCCTGGAAAAGCTGGTGGGTTTTGAGGAGAGACTCTCCTTCCTCATTCTAACATCTCCCCTAAGTATATTTCCTGGACCGTGCTGTTTAACAAAAGCTTTAAATCTCTCTTCACTTAGCTTTATAGGGAGCATTAAACAATGGTAAGGTAAACTTTACTAGCCATATTAGAATGTAATAGAAAGAGAGATTATTGGGAAGTATTATATTTTAAAGAATGAGTGGGGAAAACATACAACCCTCCTTTTCTTCTCACAGACATGTTGCATTGCAAATCTTAACATCCAATAAAAAGATACAAAGCATTAACATACTAGATCACTAATTGCTGGGATTAAATTGTACTTCTTATCAGAAAATAAAGCTTTACCTTCAGTGAGAACTGATAGATGGGGTTGATTTTGCGCAGATCGTTAACAACAAAGTAAAGAAGAGATGCTCTTACAGCTGCGGGTCTGTAATGCTCTCTCATCTCATTAATTGTAGCCTCATTTTCTTTTGCTTCAGCTACCTGTAGGAAGATAGTTGCCCAGTTTACTTTTTTAATTTATCATAATTATCAGCCCATGAGACTAAATAAATTACAAATTCCCATGAGTTTAAGAAAGAATGTGACTGCAAATCTGGAAAGTTTACGTATTTCAGACAACAATATTATTTGGCCCCGGAAGGATTATACTGGACACTGTTTTCATTGCTTGCTGGCTAGAAATGAAAGTAATTTAATCTCCTCTTTGATATATTACTATTTACTACAGATCATTAATATACTTCTTAATACTTATCTAAGTAAAATTAAGGCTGAAGTTGATGAGGAGCTGCATATTTATTTTCTTATCAGAGACGCTGGTTGCATAACAGCGAAGTAAACTTGCACTTATTTTAATAAGGACCTTCTCTCTAGCTGCCACCAATTAATTGTTTCAAATAAACTAAGGCAATGGTGTGAAAATTACTTGTAAGCAACAGTCTGAATTTTTGGATTCAGTCACAGTCACATCCCTTATCATTAATGTCTCTGTATGACCTCCCATACAAAGAGGCTTTTACTTGCATAACAGTTAAAGAATAGATATTCTTTGGGACAATATTTATATTTGTTTTTGACAAATATTAGTCACATGGCAATACATTTATTCCCAATTCATTCTATTAGTTATCAGGCATCAATCTAGGAAGCAAAAAGCAATACATATATGATCAATAAGATGCCAAAAAGGAATTGTGGATATATGTATCTTAAGTGCTTACTGCGCAATTAGGAATAACGGATACATTAAAAACAAAGTTAGGTCTACTAAATATATTATCTAAAATAATTGAGAATCTGCATTTTACAGATAATTTAAAATAAAAATTAAAAAGAACAATAAAATTGTTACTGCCTTGCATTCGATTTCTGCTGCTGTTTTCTTCGTTGATTCAAGTTTTGTCACCAACTCAGTGTCACCCAAGAAACTACCCTCAGCAGCTGAAAGACGAAGCAGAAGATCATCTTCCAGATGTTTCAGTTCAATCTTGAAGTCATTCTGCTGTTTGGTTAGGGCAGACTAACAAGGAGAATGAAAAGACTGGATTCAAACAATAGCAACAAAAGGTGAATGTTTGTTTCACAGTCTAGAAATCTTTATTCTCCATTTATTTAGATCATTACATTTCAGCTCTGTTTCAGAAAAAAAGAGAATGCAACTTCCTTTCTAACAAAAAAGGCATGGTCTAATGGTATTAACCAAACATTAAGACAGCAAGATCAGACATTGGAATGTAACAGCAAGGTAGTGAGCCAGACTTAGCCTTACTTTAGCCTCTTTATTGCAAAAAAATAGCAGGTAGGGAATTTTCATTGTGTTCGACAATTCCAGAACTTAGAAAGCTGAAGAATGTAGTCCCTCTGCTATGCTCACTCCAGCTCAGAAGACCATGGCAGAGGTCTGCTCTGCTACACTGACTCTCTTTAGGGAGAACCCTTGACTGGCAACAAATAACACCAGTGATGATAAGGGAGGTAGGTAAAACTACCCTGCTGATATCCACTCTTCACACAATCCTGCACCAAACACTCAGACTCAGAGGAATCTAGCCAAGAATTTTTCAGATCCTGTTCCTAACTCTGATCCCGATACTTGCAAGTAAACTTAGTCTCTGTGGTCTCAGTTTGCCCTTCTGTAAAATAGGTAATGTAATAGCAGGATCAGAGGGGTGGGCGCTATGAGTCTTAACCAATTCCAATTTTGTAGTGTTTGGAGATTCTTGGAATTAAGTTGTTACAGAAGTAGAAGCATCCTTATTATTGACTGTTCACCTATACATATATTTTTCATCTTTAAACATCTGGTAAAACATGGCAAATCCCCTAAAGAGCCTTTTCCAGAAATCTATAAAAATATTTCTGTTCACAAGTTACTGCAAAATGATTAATAATTCAGTAAATATAGTTCTGCATTTTAGCAGGAATAAATTCCGAGCATAATTAGCCAAATGCCCTAGAGCTTAATGGTGCAGTTGTATCCTCTTGCAAATTGGCATGAAATTTAATTTCTGCTTATTGGCTCAAGCCCATTGAAGCAGAAAACACTGAGGTGGTTTAAACCAGTGCAGAAAGAGAGAAAAGAAGATTATCACGGCGCAATCATTACAAGCTGTATTTTGTATTAGGGTTGGAGCCTCAGAAGAAGAGAGCATCTGTTGGGGCAGCAGATTCTTACAGCCAGTGTTTCACACACTTCTCAGAATGACCCTTTATGTCCACTTCATGTATAAGTAAGTGAAAGTCACTGCACAGCAGATTCCATAGGACATGGGGCTGGCTTTAAACCCTGGGAAGAACAGCAAAAGTAGTCGAAAGAAGGGCTCACTTTAAGTTTTTCTAAGTCGGGTCTTTCAGCAGTAACAACTTCAGCCAACAGCTGGTCTTCCAACCCATCCCTTGTGACAGTGAAATTAATGAGGGTGGTCTGAGCCTGCAGTTCTGGCTTGTAGTGAGGGTTAGCCAACTTAGTGTGAAGGATGATACGGAAATTCTTGTTGAACTCGCATTCTTTGTCTTCAATCTTAATATACCTGAGAATAAGTATATGGCAATGGAAATGGCATAAAATAAAGCAATTTTAAAATATTTTACTTCACTCAAGTGCTACATAATTCTAATGTCACAAAAATCATGCAAACCAAACAGCCTGAAAGGAAAGTGAGGATGATAAAATTCACTTGGAACAAACGGTCTGCACTCTTTTCAGTACGAGAGATTTACCTGGTACTGAAGTTCCTTAACTGTGGCTTACTGGAAATAGGCTGATATATAGAAGAGTCCACTGTTCACAGGAAACTTTTCATCCTTGTGTCTACTATGAAATGTTTTCAAACAACTGTAGAGTGATATTTGTATTCTTACCAATGCTCTCTTTAGCATCTTCTACTTTCCTATCTTTTAAAAATATCTTAGCCATAAAGGCTGAAACAAGGAACTAAACAGTTCATATTTATAACAAACAGCAAAATGAAAAGGAGACATAGGACTAGGGACTGAGAAACCAAAGAGAATTTTTAACATGACTTACAAAAAGTTGTTTCAAAATTACTTTCTTGCTAATTGAGAGACAGTAAAAATTATCTTTTATTATATTATATTAATCAGATCCCCTAATGAAGAGACTTCTCACTGGCTGTTCCTTTACCATGCTATGATTCTACTGCTGCCAGGGCACCTTACTAAAGTATCAAGCTCAGATATGCAGACAGGCGAGGTAAAACATTGCATAGGTTTGAAAAATGATTTGGAATTTTTTGGAATACATTGCAAGAGCACTGCATCTTCTGGTATGTGTCAGTGCCCACTCTGCCCATCCACATGCATCTAGCTTGAGCTGCCAAGTTCTGCTGCAGGTGTGGTGGAAGATACTTGAGCTATGAAGTTGCCCTACTGGCCCACTTAGTAGGATGTAGCAAAGCCATACACCCCTGGGTTTGCATACATATAGTCCCTGCTGCCAATCCCAAAGTTCTCTGTACCTGCATCTTCTACCCGCTTGTCCTCTATTCCCCAGACATTTTGTACTCCTTTATGTGCCTCTGCTTTGCACCAGACCCTTCATTTTCTACACAGTGTGCTTGGGTTTAGATACCAAGAACCTTTGCTGCATCTGCCAAGCCATACATGTGCTCCCAACCTGCAGAAGATGGCCAGAAGAGCCTAGACACATTTCTGCTAGCTAGTGGATGGACTGTTCCCAGGGAAACAAATGTGCGAGAATGCACGCCCCTAGGAGATAAACTCTAAACAATTTTGCGAGAATGCACGCCCCTAGGAGATAAACTCCAAGCATCTGGAAGCATTCAACATCCACCCAGTTGGACAGAAGTACTGAAGCAAACTGAAAACACCTGCACCACAACACCAAGGAATCAAATCAAAGGTCAGCAGTAAGCATGCCCCTGTTACAAGTATGCCTCTGCCCCAAGCACAAACCCCACTCTCTGCTATACCCCTGTTATATACCTATGGGGATTAAATGCACAGAGGAATAGGATGCTAGCAAGGACAAATTCCAGAAGCAAAGAGTGATTAACTCAGATCAACTCATAGTCAACTAGAATAGCCTGTACAGCAGCCTCAAAGGGAAAGGGAACAGATTTGTTTCCTGGTAAGTGCTGCTTGCCATGTCTGTTATTGCTATGTGAGAAATTACAGTGTAAAGAGGGAGAGATGTCTTGGTTTGTGACCAGTGAAGTTACTGTTTTGAAGGATTCTTGCAGGTACTGGAGTGTGCTTAGCTTTAGGTGGTAGCCATAATTCAGTTTCCTTCTCCTGCCCAAGTCACGTGTATTACAAAATGGACAAACAGGGAAAAACAATTGAAAAAATACAACCAAAAACAATTAGGTGTTTCAAAGTACTTCCTCTGCTATGTTTAAATACATTCACAAGATATCAGCTGCAGCATGCTTAAGTGAATTTTTTTTCACTTACTTTTATTATCTTGTACTAATTTAATACTTTTCATTTGTACCTTCATTGTAAAAGTATCACCCCAACTCCTTGGCTTACAGCTTCATTGGTGTATTTAATGTGATAAAACTCTTACTACTAAGCACCCCAGGCATTGATCTCTGTCCACTGTATTTTCTCCATTTATTAGACACAGGAAGCTATGGTGAGGGTGGGGTAGCAATCCAGTGCTATTATTCCTCTGCACATTTTTTACTAGCATAGATTAAAAATTCTTGGGGATACAAAGTCACTTGATCCCAGATGACTTCCTGCCTATGGTGGGGGGGAGGGGGTGGAGGCTGTACCTGATGATCTCATGATGTCCCTTCCAGCCCCTATGAAATCTATGAAAGTGATAAAATCATTGCTAACAAAGACATTGTTTATTGCATTCCTTTTTCTTGTGCTCGTAGGTCTGACATAAGGCGAGAGGGAAAATACTGGCCAATCTGCTGGTAGCCAACAACCCCTGACTAGTTAAGCATATTATAACAAGCACCCTGCTTGGAAGGTGATGCTTAGAATTTTTTTCATGAAGCACAATCTCTAGTTAGGCATTCAGGTTAGCTGAGAGGGCAAAAACTTTGTAGAATCATTTTGGTAACTTACTAAACCCATCTATTCACTAATGAGCTGTTATGTCTTCAGGCTTCTAGAAAGCTCCTTCACATACCCGGATAGGGCCCTACTGCTGACCTGAAACACCATTTTTCTAACTTGTATTTCTTAATATTTATGTCTTCAAACAGACTCCAAATCTGAAAAACAAAGCAGTGCTGATAACAGAGGTCCTATTTTGATTTGACCCCTCTCCTCACTACACATCAGCAAACTTAATTTTTGTAAAGGATCGTAGAACGTTCTTACCAGGATGCATTGAACTGTTGTTGCACAGCATTTGAATTAGTTGCTTCTGAGCTGTACAGCACACAAACGAGAAATGTTGGCATACCAAATATGACAAATGTAAGCTGTAGCTTTGTATTCACATAGCCAATAAGGCAAGGGTACTCTCACATGGCAAAAACGCTTATGGAGCAGCTGTTCTCCATGGCAAAAATCATAGTGGCCTGTCTGCTCCTTGAAGAATTATGGAGCAGCTGTTCAATGTGCTGCTCAAAAAGGGCTAATAGACAGTGCTAGCACCATAGCCACCTCCTTTGCAAGTGACAGCACCTCTGCCAAGACTAGAGCCTGTGACTGAATCAGTCTGGTTCTGGTGGTTGGCTTGGGAATTGTGCCAGTGTCTGCGACCTGAGATTCTTCACCAGGTCATTATATCATGCAGCCAGTGCAGGACTTAGAAATCTCTGGAGTTGCCTGGGCAATGGACAGTTCTAAGAGCTGGAGTGGACAGGTGCTGGCTGCACACTCTGAATGTAGGTACCCATACCACTATTCATTAATGGGAAATATAGGCAAAACAAGATGTCAGAGAGAGAAAAAAGGACATCACAAGCAGCCGAGACAATAATTGTTACAGCAGTTTAGTTTGTTGGCTTTGATTAAGTCAACTAGAGTTACTGGTTTTAAGTATGTAATGAACAGTCACTGACCACCTACTAACACAATCACAAACCACTGGTACTGAAGCACACAAAGAACACTAATCACTTTCCAGTTGTAAACTGGCCCTACTGTTTGTTTAATAGCTTTTGTTTTTCTGTATAGAGACTGTTGTTTTGAATGCGTTTTCAAAGGAAAGCAAAGAATAGGGTTAAATGGTCACTTTTCAGGATGGAGGGAGGTCAGAAGTAGAGTCCTGCAGGGATCTGTACTGGACATGGTTTTCCTAAATATTTTCATCGATGACCTGGGAATGGGGGTGCAGCATGAAATCTTCCCATTTGCAGATGATACTGAATCATTCCTGGTAGTCAAATACCAAGCTGATGGAGAACAGCTGCAGAAATATCTTGCCAGACTGAGTGAGCAAAAGCAGGGGAGATGAACTTCAACATTGACAAGTACAAGGTAATGCACCTGGGGAAAAATAAACTCAATTACATGTTTGCAGTGGTGAGTTCTGACCCATTACGATTCAGGAAAGAGACCTTGGAGTCGCTGTAGATAGCTCTCTAAAAACAACAGTTCAATGCACAATGGCAACCAAAAAAGCTAATAAAATCGTTTATGAGGGAACTGAAAACAGAAAATTGAAAATGGAAAAGATCATCAGGCCACTGTACAAATACATGGTGCATCCGCACCTTAAATACTATCAATTTTGGTCTCTGCATCTCAAAAAAGATGTAGTAGAATTAGAAAATGTACAGAAAAGGACAACCAAGATGATCAAGGGAATGGAGCAGCTCCCAGATACCAGGAGAGACCATAAAGACTAGGACTCTTCAGTTTGGAAAGGATAAGGCTGAGGAGGGGATAAAACACAAGTCTATACACAATTATGAAGGGTGTGGACAACATGAATAGGGAACTGTTATTCAGCAAGTCCCAGGATACTAGAAATAGTGGGCAGCCACTGAAAACTAAGAAGAAAAGGTACTTTTTTATGCAGTACATAGTTAACTTGTCATGACCACAGGAGGTTGTAGAGGCAGATGGTTTGGCCAAGCTCAAAAAATGAACTAGACAAATTCATAGATGATAGATCTACTAATAACTATTAAACAGAAGAGTCAGGAATATATCTGGCATCTCTAAATCAATGACAGTGGATATTAGAGAAGGTCTGATAGTGGATAAACTACTTTAGGTCTACCCTGTTCATATGCTCTCCCTCTAAAACATCTACTCCTGCCACTGTCAGAGACAATATATTGGGCTAGATGGACCATTTATCTGACCCAATATGGTATTTCTTATATTCTCATGTATGTTCTTAGACCTGAAAGTTGTGACAAGATTTTATTGAAGTTGCACAATGTCCAAATCACTGAAAACACAAAAGCACAAGATTTTCTCATTACAACGTGTAAAAAACATTTATTGGTATTGTGAAATCTACTTTAAAATGGATTAAAAAGGCCTTTCCCCTCCAAAATAAAAGCCAATAGTTAACAAAGAATTAAAAATAAATAAAAGCAAATCATAATACATTTAATAATATAAT